CTATTATTCGCCCTTTTCTTCCACCTTTCCCTCGATTTATGTAAATTTTTAATTATAGAGGACAAAGACCCCTCATCTTTGGGCCGCGACAAAAAGAATCCCCCGAAAAGGGCCTCAGGGCTTGACCGTTCAGACCGAATTTCCGTCCGAAACCGAGCGCCTAATTCCGCTTTTCGCTTAAGGAAATTTGCATAAAATGCTCGAGGGCTTTTTTGATGCGGGAATTCGGTCGTTTTCTTCATCGGCATCAGATTGAATTGGAATTTGGCGGCCTCTAATTTTAAAAGGATTTTCGATTCGAAGGGAGCGGGGAGTTTGCTAAAGTTTGCTTAAAATGGGGAAAAATTTGAATATCGACTTTTCGATTTTGAAAAAGAACAGAAATGCAAATAAAAGTTGGGAAAAGTTATCAAGTTTGTTTTGGGCAGTCCATTCCCTCGTTTCTGACCTCCTTTTCCTTCGTAAAAAAGGCAGAGAAACGAATGTCCACTTGGAAAACGCGTGTCAGAACCTCGCCTTGGGTAAGGTATCGAGCTCATATTCTTTTCTTTTGATACGTAGATCATTATTAAATTACTTGAATTATTTTTTGGCCAGATTTTCGGCGTATTTTACATTGAGTTTGCCCAGGACTTCCGCCAATATTACATTTGATCGTCTCAAAGTTAACCCCATTTTTTGAAGCCAAAATGGATCCACGTATTTTATTTACAGCCGTTTTATCGCTCTTTTCTCGCTAACTGACCTCAAAACACGTCCTTTCTGTCCGAATGCCCTAGGGCACCATAAATCCGGGCCTTGTAATTACTTTCCCCCCAGGGCAAGAGCTTGTCAAACAACTGATCGGACACGTCAGATCAGTGGTGGGGGTGTCTGTTGGGCGGCCGGAAGCGGCCGAAACCCACGGCCTTTTTCTCTCTTCTCTTTGCATGTTCAGGCCTTGCTTGATCCCATTATTCATCGTGATAAGTCTTATCAAAAGGGATCAATTAAAGCTTCAAAATTGTCAGAATTGCCTCCGGGCTTTACGAAGAATCCCTTTTATTTGGTTTTATATCCGAAAAGATAATTGAATTTTCCGATTTTAGTGCAAAATCCAACATTTTTTAGTCCCAAAATATAAGTTTTAGCAAGTTTTTTTTTGATTTTTATGTTTTGGTTTTGTTTTGTATTACTTTCATCGATGGTCGCAGATTGAACCGGGTCTGAGTCGCTGCGAAAATGCGGGAAGAAAAGGTCTGATGATAAGTTTTAAAGCTGTAATATGATACAATGGCATTGACAATTGTTCTTGGCATTTGTTTAGCCCTCAAATTACAGTTGTCATCAAAACATTCAGTTGTAGCCTAAGGCTACAATCTAATTCAGACGTAGAACTTGTTAACGCCTTATTTGGAATAGAATTAAAATTTCTCTTCATTTTAAGCACAAAAATTTAAAAAAATTCTATTTTTGGATGACTCACAACTCTTTCCATGAATAGCCCTGAGAGTCCGAAAGAAGGGACCTATGAATTTCCTGAATTTATTCTTGCATATTCAGCAAAGCCTTTTTTGAAAAGAGTTTACTGGCAAATTGTAATATTTACTTTAGTTTTATGTTATTTGATCATCAAACAGCATTTCCGGTGAGATAAAAATGGGGTTTCTTATCAGATCTTATAAATAAAAATAGAGAAAGGGGAACAGTCAGAGGTTTGGAATTGGAAAGGTGATTTTTGGAAATTGCAAAGCATAATTTTCGAAATTTTTTTTTGAGATTTTTTTAAGTTTTACTTTTTGCATATTTATTTGGTTATAGATTATTACATGTTTCATAAAATCCCTTTGTGGCCACTTTTCGGGGCCTCCTCAAAAAACCCCGCAGGCAATTTTTCTACCTCCAATTCCCTGAGGCCATTTTAATTTGCATAAAATCACCGAGAATGGAAACAATTTGTTTTTGTGCGGTTTCTCCGTTTCCTTCTGCTCCGTTTAAACTTTTTGGAGCCGAACGGGAAAAGAGAACCGCGCCCAAAAATTTGCGGCGTTTTCCATCTGACAATTTCTCTTTTTTTGACCCAAAACGTTCCTTCGATCTCTGCTGAGAAGGGGGAGAAGGTCTACCTGATTTTATTTATTTCCAAATAATTATCAGCACTGTTTGTTTACTGTAAGAATTCTTTCGATAACTCGGGAGTTTGGGGTGAATTCCCAGAATTCTCTGTGATTTGATGGGGTTTGAGACAGTCATTTTTATGTTGTTTTAGTCAGAGAAGGTCTCCAGATTTCTTGTCTAGGGTTGTAAATCAATAGAATAGAGAGTAGCCTTAGATTTGAATAAATTTAGATCTAACCTTACTGTAATAACATATATTTTTCCAATAAAAATATTTTTTAAGACCTCTTTTATTCAATCCAGACATTATGACCTTTTTTTTTGTACCTTGTTGTCGTTTTTCTGAGCCTATTTTGTCATGGGAAATATATTTCTTAAAATCGACAACTCTTGCAATTTACCGAAAGCCTGACCCGTTTACTGTTCACTTTGGACCCATCTAAAGCGGCTTCTAACCATTTTTCCAATCAGAATCTCCTTCTAATAATATTTATTTTTACTCACACTAAGGTACCGTAATCCCAACCAAGAATCCTGGATCGAAGTTTGGTTGGAAAGATGGTGTAATAAAGCTTATTATAATTAGATTTTCCGGATTTTTCTCCCAAGCTTTTTCCAAGGGACGTTTTCGAAATGAGAAAAACGGTCTCGGTCTATTTCCGATCAGAAAACGAAGAATCCGTTTGATGGTCATTCTGGCTGATTTAATTGTCATATTATATTATACTTGACGTTGACGCCATTGTAATTTGTTTTGGAGTATCCAGAGGATTAAGTAATGTTTTATTTGGACGCGAAATTCTCGAGATTCAATTGTCGAAATTTTCCAAGATTTTGTTTTCGTAATCCATATGGCTTCTGAAAACGTTATCTAGCGCTTTGATAAGGCCAAAATATTTTACTATTTTGTTGAGATGAGAGATTATGGAGAATGAGGAGGGGCGATCAGAGCTTTTTACAAAAAAATCCCAAGTAAATGACGATGACTTCTATCAGCCAAAATTTTTTTTTAATTTTTTTCAAATTGATCCTAAATTAAAAAATGATCGTTTATTGATGACTTCCAAATGTCATGTTGAAACCCCAACCCGAATGTTATAATTTGCACGGTTCAGCGTCTACTGAAAAGAGAGCGACAAGAGTAATGTTAATGACCTTCGGTTGGGTTGAAAAACGCGATTTATAAATTTATCCGTTATCAAAAGAGGGGCTGCAGAGATCTGTTCAATTGTTTCTCTCTTCTCTGAGACTATCAAAGATTAACAGGAAATGAACTTCAAATCAGCTCTTTTTATATTATAATAGGCAGATTTAACCAAGCACCAATTTTTGATCTCACTTTGCACTTTGTGACGTCTTTCTTACTGGTATTTTCTATTTTTTGAAGAATTCAGGTTTCAAATTCGTCCAATTACCACTTTCTTCTTGTCGTTTGGGAGTGTTTTTGATTGTAATAAGTTTAATTTTCGGGTTTCTGTTGACGTACTTTCTATTTTTTATGCCAACCAAAATATTTATCATTCTTCCCATTTTTTACAAAGTTTTCTTTACATTTTATCAATTATTTTACTAGTAAAATAACCGAGATTCACCTCAAAAATCATCTTGATCAAGTCTAATATAAATAAAATTACAAATTTCTAATAAATTCGAGCTTAATTTTAATTAAATGTAATATAAATGTAATTCAAAAGTTGGTGATGTGGTTAATACCGTTGTAAAAAGAAGGTCTAGATCACGAGTCGAGACTTTTGCTGCACACGATCCGTCATTCTTCGAAGGTTTCTGACCAAGGAAGGAAGGCTCGGGTTTATGGAAAAGAATTTCTGGGCAATTTTTTGATGTATGGGTCTCTTTTACTATCACAATGATTTTAAATACACGCAAAATTCCTGTTAATAAACTTTTAAATGTCTTAAAAATTTTTTTGATGAGTGTTCCGTCGTTTGCATATAAAAAATTGCCCTCATTTCACATTCAACCCAATGTAAGATCAAAAAATCTCATTGGACCCCCTCTAAAACACAAATTACTCGCAAAATAAGCTCAATTCTCCCTCTAAAATAAGCCGTTTCCGCTGCCACACCTTTAATTTCGACGTTGGAAACAGTTTACACTACTGGTTACCGCCATTACAACCAATGTCCAAGCCTTTTGCAGATCTTTTCGAACACCTTTTTCTCCATTTTTATTCGATTTTCACCGGAAGTCCATCGCTTTTTTCTCGTTCTACAGGTAGTTCTACCCCAATTTCCATGCCCTCAGGGGATCTGTCTTATCGTTCTGGTGATTTGTAGCTATAATTTAATTTTGATCATTGGTTGCGAATGTTGCGATCTAGCAGAAAGTCGTAAATATTCCTTGCACTTTTGCGATGACTAAACTTTGTCATGACCTTAGGGATTTTTTGTTCCGTATTGGGGATACATATATATCTAGTTTTGTGATAAAAGAGATGTTAGTTGTTAAAATTTCTTGACTTTTACAACTACTATGTAAGCTTTCTATACTACTGAAACATTTCTAATCGAATATCCAGATATAATCCAATTTTTGTTTGGTTGAAAAAATAAAAACTCTCATTTACTCTACCATTTAATAATCTTTGTGTATTCCGAACACAATTTCTATTTTCAGGCGTTGCTTTGTTTCCACCAACCACTTGTAAACTCCTTATCTTGTAATTCGTAACGATTAAAATGCCTTGTTGTTATCGAAAGAAACGGAAATTAAATTAAAAGACGATGAAGATGAGAGCGAGTTCACTCGAATGTAGAGCATCTACATCCCACGAAGAGCTAAACGATGTGAAAGATCACTCCAATATAACAAATACTAACATCACACCGCCAATTAAACGTCATTATAAACACAGGTCGGCGAATAAAATATGGCCTCAATTCATGATCTCAATCACTTTGTTGGTCGCGACCGCTGGTGGCGGTTTAGCCAACGGATTCAGTATATCACCGAGAGCGTCGACAGCTGATGAACTAGGTAGGTGCACTGTTTGAGTCATCAAAAATAGACTTGTGATGAGAATGGTAATCAAGAAAGTTCAACGAAAAATTTTAGGAGTTCCCGCCTGCGCAGACAACAACGACTGTGTTGCTGGTGGTGTTTGTGTCAAAGATGACCTAAACATTGGTCGATGCATGTGCTCCAGCTCCTGCCCATTAAGTAAAAGATATCATAATTATTTTAATTATCTATTACAGACATCCCAGTACAATGTCTACCGCAGAACGAGAATTCCTGTGTAAATATGGGTGATAATTATATGCGAAAGTACAATCTGCATAACCCAGTATGCTATCAAAAACGTTGTATTTGCCCGCCAATTTTTGAGCCCATCCCAATCCAACCGCCGGTGCCTGGACTTAAATCCATGTTGCCCATGAAATGTGATAAACGTAAGACAAATTAGAGTTTGTTTTTGTGGTTTTTCAAGCAAATCATTTCCTGGCGGAACTGCTCTCTTGAAATTGCCAATCCTGATGTTTCAGGTGATCTCTCGGCGATGATTGTGGCATCGCCTTCTGACTCGGCCTATAAAGGCACCCAAACTACCATTTTCTGCTGCATAAACCTCGATCCCCGAGGCTATATCCCCGAAAATGGTGTTTATTTTGTGCAGAATGGAACCCGGAAAAGAGAAGCCAACACGTCACCTTACGAGAACTTCTCACGCGACATCGACACCCTATTTACGGTCCCCACTTGCTGGGCATTGACCATAAACAATGTCCAGCCGAGTGACAGCGGGACTTACCAATGCATTGTGCAGCCGATGAGTGCCAAGTTTAAGACTGTCAACACAACAATGGAGTTTGTGGTTAAAAGTAAGTGGAGAAGCAGCAGGATGACTTAAATTTAAAATTGTCACACAATCGCTAAAACCTTGCAAATCAATTTTTTATCTCATTTACCACTGAAATAATGCACCATACGCAAAGTTATGTCCTACCATATTCGTAGACTTACATTTTTTTTGCAATTTTAATCGATTTATCACAGAGCACCGCCGATTTCGTCGGCAGCGAATTGTCGCGTATCACCAGGTCGTTCGTAAGTAGTGTGAAAGCGGAGTGAATTAGACCTATACCCACTAAAGGAGTGATATTGGAACCTATGTGACACAAATTAACATTCAATTTTACCCCTAACAAAAGAATGTGTCAAATAAATGATGATTAGCTAAAGCGAGTGGCCTAATAAGATCTTATACGAGTTAATTTACAAAAACTTCTTTCCTTGTATTCTGCAAGCAGGTTGAATGGAATACCTCTCGTTTCCACGCATGTATTTTTTCATCGGCGGAAGCGGGAATGGATAACAACTATATCACTCGAGTCATTTCTTAATCGATGATTGAAAAAGGAACCCCGTGTTTTTCATCTCAAACATTTTTTGAATGACATATTTTAGACAATAACTGTTTGCAGTATTTGCCGTAACAATTCCCATGGTCTAAAAATTCTAACCCTGTCTTTTTAGCACCACGAATGATCCAAAACGTCACTATACAACCAAATGCAACTACCGCTTTAATCCAATGGGACATGTCGGAAGGGCCCATGCTCAAGATCGACTTGGAATTATTCAGAAGAACCGATCGCAAGACCCGGGTTTGGAGGAAAACAAATGCAAAATCCCCCGTTCTGATCGAACGACTGAATCCAGCGACACCTTACACTTTGTTTGTAACTGTAATTGACGGGCAAACTGAGCCGTTCAGATTGACAGAGCAATTCCAGACTGATGAGAACAGTAAGTAAATTAGCAAAGTTGATTATGGCAATACTTGCCCATCGGTTTAACGTCTAAATCATCTGTTTTTAGTATCAGATCCTCCGGTTCTCGAAGATATCCGTTTGATCAACGCCGAAAATGGCCGCGGGCAAATGTGCGAAGTGGAATGGAAGCCCCCGCGATGGCCTCGAGGTCATATTACAAAGTACTTTGTGAAAGTCGAAGGAAAGGTCCGTTATCAATCCGGAGACGGCAAAGAAATCGTCGGCTCACATCATCCCTCGGGAATCGATTTGTGCTCCAATTACGACGGTGACGAAGATAATTTCATCGACCCCCAGAATTTCCACAATTTCTTTGCGTGTAAATACGGCCCGCTAAAGCCGAATCGCAACTACTCGGCCACAATCTGGGCTGAGAACAAAGCCGGGAAGTCCGAAGCGGTCACTTTTCATGAGCAATGTGTAATGGACTACGCTGAGCCGGAGTTCATTCAACCACCTGAGACCATGTCCCGGACCAACACTTCATCTTTTGGACTCCAATTCCCCCAAGCGCCGGAAGAGACTAATGGACCGATTGCTTGTTACTATCTGGCTATTGTTCCTTTACAATCAAACGTTTCGGTTGACGCTTTACCAACACCTGAACAGATAGTAATGGACACTTATGACAAGGTCTTGCAGAACAATGTCCACACTCCCTTCCATCCCAAGAATCGATTCTTTGCTTACATAGCTGAGAGTTATATGCAATATCCAAAACAGACAATCGTTGGTGATGGAGACACCAAAGGAGGAGTGGAACCATGCAATGTCCTTTATCTTACACGATACGAACCAAATGATGCGGCTTTAGCTCCTGACCTCAAATACACGGGGTTCCTGATAGCTCGAGTAGATCGAGACAACAGTCTGCAGAGATCAGTGGATTCGGTCGAAAATAGTCGGAGATACCGACCCATCTTGAGTAGCATCTCCCCGGCTGATCTCTTGAGTACGGCTCCATTAAATGGCCAGCGACCAAGAAATGGATACAACAGAAATGAAGAGTTTGGACCTAGATGGAAACGTCAGTTGGTCTCCACTTCAGACCCCGCATATGGATTCAGTGGCTACTTTAAGCCCGTAATACTACAACAACAAGCTACTGGAGGAAGCGGATGGTTTGAATTGACATTGATCATAACCTTGGTCTTATTGTTAATTGCATTTGTGGCAGTTTTCTTCTTATACATCTTGCATAAGTAGGTTTGATTAATAAGCATACCACGTTTACGAATGCGCTACAATAATATAATTTTAGACGAGGAATACTCAAAGCGTTTTGCCCCGCGATTAAAAAAGAGCACCAACGAATCAGGCATGCCTTCAACCCAATTCCAGTCGACGATCTAGCCACGGAATACACGATAAGGCACAAAGACAGCGACTTCCTTTTCAACGCCGAGTTTGAAGCCTTGCCCCGAGCGAAGAATCTTCCACATACAGCTAGTGAAAAGCAAGAGAACAAAGGGAAGAACCGCTACAATGATATAAAAGCTTGTGACATCACAAGAGTCAAGTTAACGCCGTTGAATGATATCTCAGGCTCGGATTATGTGAATGGAAATTTCATCAAGGTAAGTAAATATTATGCAGTATTAGTACTGCTTTAGGGTTACAACGACCGAAAGACATTCATCGCAACCCAGGGGCCGCTGGAGAACACCGTCGGCGATTTCTGGCGGATGATCTACGAACACAATTGCAAGATTGTAATCATGGTCACAAATCTCCGAGAAAGAGGGCGAGAGCAATGTGCAAAGTATTGGCCAGATGAGGAAACAGACGAACCACTTGTTGTCAGTAACCAATTTGAGGTCCATACATTGGAAACGCATCTTTATGCTGACTACACCGTCAGAGAATTGAGATTACAACCTCTTCCCCCTTCGTCCCCAACTGTCCATAATTCCAAAAGTTTCTCCAGAGAAGGTCCGTCAAGTCCCCTATTGGAATCTACGTATTCTAGAGCTTCAATAAGCATGGATTCCCCTCAGTAAGTAATATTATCTAATCAACCCCGTTCTTGTTTTAGACGAACATCCTCCCGAATGGCCAATAGATCTGACTCGATGTCCTCACCTTCTCCAAGACCTGATGCCGATTATGCCAACCTCCCACGTCGCCCTGGCTCGACCAATTCCAATAGGAGCAGTCAAAGACATGCTCCAACCGAGCCTATGAAGGTCCTTCAATTCCATTTTACCGCCTGGTCTGACTACAAAGCACCCGAATGCACTGTCAGTCTTCTTCGATTGATGTGTAAACTACGGAAGATGGACGAATACAACCGTTATCCAGTTGTTGTTCATTGCTCGGCCGGTGTTGGCAGAACCGGAACTTTCATTGCCATCGATTATGTGATGGATCAATGTAAAGCTGAAGGTAAAGCTGACATCTTTGGATGCATTTCGAAGCTTCGAATGCAACGAAATCTGATGGTCCAATCTCTTGAACAATATGTGTTCATCTACAAAGCACTCGCTGAATACCAACTATTTGGGATTAGCGACGAACATGTAGACGACTTCTTAACTCACTACCAAAAACTAAGATTTCCAGTGAACAAAAGGGAAAGACATCTATCGATGACTGAACAGAAGCTAAATTCAGATGAAAGTAAGCCCAATGGAGTAGTTACTAGTCAAAATGGAACTACATATGTTCGAATAGACCCTAAGGGCAATGAAAGAACTGTCTATTTTGAAAGGAACAGGCTGTCTCCAGTTCCTTCGAGTAACGGAATGGGAGCTTTGCTGAATCAAAAGTTCAAGCAGTTCAGGTAAAAGACCACATAAAAAAAGACAAATAGTATTTTTAGAAGCGGCTCAATGGCTGTGGTGGATAACTCAAGGTCCTCGTTATTGGAAGAGGAATTTTTAAAGTTGCAACAAAACATAGAGAAACCTCGAACTACGCAATGGGCCCATAAGAACGAACACGCCGGGAGGAATCGCTTCGATGACGCCGTCCCTTACGATAACAACAGAGTCGTCTTAGCACCACTATTAGACTATTCTAATACATACATCAATGCTTCGAACGTCAAAGGATACTTCTATCCATTCATTTTGGCACAAGACCCATTGGGTCCGGAGACAGCATTTGATTTTTGGAGAATGGTGAACGATCAGAATAGCTGCACAATAGTAATGCTGAGTCCTGATGACAGTTTCACCGCGAAGGAAAAGGTGAGTCCATATTAAATCAAGTCACAACTTGTAATACGAACACTTTTAGTATTGGCCTCATAGCCCGCTGACGACTGAATACCTCGGTCTCAAACAAGAACTGGTATTGCAACTTCGAAGTGAGATTAAGTACACCAATTACATCGAGAGAAAAGTCAGCTACGTATTCAAGGTAATACAATCCGCATTGAATATAACAAATTTCTCTCCTTTCAGTCCGATCGTCAGAACGCCTCCGGGCGTGAAATCACTCAATTCGCATATCGCCATTGGCCTCTGGGTGCAGCGATTCCCAATGACACTGCCAGTTTCCTGGATCTCATAGCTTCCGTTTTGGAACATCAGAGTAATTTCTCAGATCCAGGTCCAATCATCTTACACTGCCGCGATGGATCGTATGAGAATGGGGTCTTCTGCGCCGTCAGTTTACTTTTGGAGAGACTTCGTGCCGAGAAAATGATTGATGTCTTCCAAACCGTCAAAACCCTGCAAAATCAACGCCCAAAAATGTTGACCAAACTGGTAAGTGAGCGGCCGTTAGAGGAATAACACTACCTGTAGTCTAACAACTTTTTCACTTTATCCAACCATTTGCAGGAGCAATACGCCTTCTGTTACGATTGTGTCGCCGATTATTTGGAAACTGCTTACTGAAAACAACGACAAAACTCAACATACCGGTCATAATTCGTCGAAACCTATCTAAGTCAATGTTGTAGTCAACTTATCACGCCTTCTTGTATCGCCTCAACTCTCATCTGATCTCATTCTTGAAAGCGAGTATCCCGGATATTTAGAACCATTAACAATATTATCTTTGAAGCCATAATTAGGCAACGTCTTTCTTACACGCATATTTTTCAGTCAAGTATCATGAGAATCCCCCCTTTGCAACAGTGTACAAAGTTATATGTAATTATATGACAAAAAGAAATAAAAATTGGAAAATATTATGTAGCATGATGTAGATTCCCTCTCGCCACATTAAATCTAATTGCACGGTAAAGGCAATATTAAAGTAGGGCTTATACGATTATCAAGAAAATCGTATAAGTGAACCTCCCGAGCGCCAAAAATAAAAACTACTTCTAAGTAATTTCAGAATCACTTATAACATCTTTTATTTACTTATAAAAACACTGCGCTTTTATAAGTACACTTTAGATCTAGATCGTACATCTTCCTGCGCAACCAATAAAATAAAAATCAGTTGCAATTCGTCCATTTTTTGAAAGCCGATACTAGGTGGACGAAAAGCCAGAAAATCTCGCGGTTTTATTTTTTGCGAAAAGAATCTGAAATTGGGGAAATCTGGAAGGATCTCATTGAATTTGACCACATTCTGCATTATTTAGCTGTTTTTTTTTATGTTAGGCCATGACTGAGGCTTGCGGAACTGACTCTGATCCCAAAAAATGGCTGGCAGAAGTGAAAAAATGCCGTTACTTGCCCGAAACCGAAATGAACAAACTCTGCCGACTGTGAGTTGATGTGTTCTATTTCATTCCAATGTTTAGGTTGTTAAACAAATTTATGAAGTAGTAAAATCAAGATTTAATTTTTTCTATAGTTTTCGATGTAAGTTTTGATTATCTTTTTAGATTGAGAAATCGACTCTCAGGAACACCATCAGTAGTTCAAGTTCAATCTCCCGTCACAGTTTGCGGAGACATACATGGTCAATTTTATGATCTTTTGAAGTTATTCAGCATTGGTGGAGAACCGGGAAATGTAAATTACGTTTTTCTTGGAGGTAAATTCCGTTTTTATTTTTATTCTTGATTTTTAGATTACGTTGATCGAGGACACTATTCTCTGGAGACGCTGACCCTTTTGTTTCTTTATTCGGTCTGTTATCCGGACAGTGTGACATTGATCAGGGGGAATCACGAGACTCGGAGAATCTCCATTCAGTATGGATTTTATGAGGAATGCCAGCAGAAATACGGACATACCGCTGTCTGGTTAAGCTGTTGCAGGGTAGGCGCATTCTCATAAGTTAGACTCTGTTAACTGTTATTTTGATTTTCCCGTTTGGTTGACATTTTGTATTATCCATCAAATGTCTTTTTAATTTTAGGTTTTTGATCTTCTTCCAATTGCCGCCTTGATCGACAATGAGTATTATTGTGTACACGGTGGAATATCACCCAATCTGAGGTCAATTGACAGAATTATGTCATTGCAAAGAGACATGGAAGTTCCTTTATCCGGGGTTTTATCGGATGTTCTGTGGTCTGATCCGGAGGAGCATATCCGCTTGTTTGCACCGAATCAACGAGGAGCTGGATATGTTAGTTAGCTTGTTATCTTTTTATTTTCTGGGAATTTTAGCTGTTTGGTGAAGAAGCGGTGGATGAATTCCTTGCCGAGAACAATGTGAAGATGATATTGCGGTCACATCAGCTCGTAATGGAAGGTTTCAAATTCCTGTTTTGCAAGAAATTGGCTACCGTTTGGTCGGGTAGGTACTTTTAAGTCCCGTTGTTCTGGCCCTTGATGATGATTTTTTCATTAAGTCCCTTTTATTCTCAGCCCCGAACTACTGCTATCGATGTGGAAATATTGCGAGCATGTTTAATATTAATGGGAACGGCGAAGAAGTGATAAGAAAATTTGACTGTGCCAGTATGGAAGAACGGCAGGTCCCTGATCGAATGGTGACTCCATACTTTCTCTAACATGGGTGTATTATTTATTGCTTCCGAAACTTTGGCCAAATTCTTTTTAAATTTCCAATCAAAGACTCTCGGAGATTACTCAATTTGAAAACGGTTGATTCTAAACTTTATTGTGTCCTTAATAAAAAGAGCTTGTAAAGTTGATATTATTTTGGAGATGTCATAATGAATAAGGTCATAAAACCATTTATTTATTGAATAAAAAGAAGTTTACAGTTAGACAAAGAGTAAGCTGGATTCTGAAGCAGCGGGGCCAATATTATAATTCTTGTTGTCCTGTTTGTTCTTCCTGTTCTTCCACAAGGTAACAATGGCAGCAATTGAACAACCAATACTGATGAGAGAAAGCGCGATGGACAGGGCATTGTAGAGATAGATTGTAGAAAAGTCGGTTTCGAATTTGGTAGAGTCGAAGAAAATGGATTGATTAGTGAGCGAACCGGCATGGACATCGAGAATCAGAGCTGAGAGTAGAATAAACAACACACCTTTAGTGGGCATCGTGAACTAGATAGTGAGCTTTAATCTGATTTGAGCATTCTTTTGCAAAAATTTCTGCGCTTTATAGCAGAAATTTTTATATAAAGCGCATATTACATCATCATTTCGTTTACTCGAGGTAAATGCAAAAAGCAGTTTGATAATCAATTTTTTATTCGAAAACAAAGAGCTAAGTAAGAATACGAAAAAGATAGACCTGTTTCGCAATAACATTGACTGGATTTTGGCTGACATCAGATGAAATCTGAATAGATACGGCAAACTTTGGCCAAGTCAAGATCCCGCCCATGCCGAAGGTAGATAACGGATATATACAGACAGTATTTTTGGTCAATAAGTTAAGGAGTATGGCACTCTTTTGAGCAGTAAGTAGTCGTTTACAATGTGAATTTCCTCCTGGGGATGCTGATTAGTTGGTCCGCAGTTTGCCCATGAACGGTCCATGTTATTGATCGCAAGGAAAGATTTCTTTTGCAAAATGACATGGGGACACTGATTGGGATCACCTTCTTCCGCGTGTTGGCACCGATGATATTGAGAGCCATCTTGTCATCCATTGTGCTGAACCCGTGATTCCAGTTTGAGGGATCGTTCCCGTAGACTGGCACGTAAACATATCTGGAATGATGAATAAAATAATACAAGGTTGGGTTTCCTCACTTTTCAGTAGACAATGCCGCTGTATAAAACCCGCAGTTTCCAATGGGAGTGATCCCACTGACAGGCAGATCGATTAAAATGATCTCATTCCTGAATTTCCTCTTGATCGCGGCCTCCAATTCGGCTCTCTCCGGCTCCTTGAGTGGTGGAATGGCTAGGATCTGAGAGCAATGAATGTCATTGTAATAGAACTGGGGTCTTCATGTTGTCTAAAGAGACTTACATCTTCGTCGATAAACAAAAAGATGTCATCCAACCGCATTGTTTCGTAATCCTCAGGCTTCTCCACCATCACCACCTTAACGAAAAGAAACCGGGTTAATTTGTCGAGGAAAAAGATGGTTAATGGGTTAGTGGCTAGTTGACATTATTAATTATTAAAGCTTTATTATAATTAATAATGTCTTTTAGGGTTATTAGAGTGGGATGGAATGGATAATGTCTAGATTGTACGGGAAGCTGTCTAAATTAACATGCTTTAAATTACGTCAATTTGACGCCTTGATTCCTAGTATTACCCATTACATCCCATAAGCTAGTCTCAATTAAATTATTAGAAAGAGTAATAACTTTTCGGAAAGCGTTGGACAACTTGATCATGATGCCCCAGTCCGGTAGTCGGTTCTCATTAAGCCGTTGAACATTCTAGAATGATCTCTTGTTGTTGTCCAGGATTACCTACTTCTGAGATCACTGCTTTATTCATCCCATTATCCACCACGTCTCTGCCGGACAAGGTCAAATCCATTTCTCTTTTGTCGATTCTGATTCGGTTATCGATCAGGAATCGATTGAAGCCATCGTCCACTTGTTTGTCCGATATATCAGCCATATTTTTGTTCCTAAAATGGCTCTGTATGACTATATATGTAATCGGAAATAGGAGTTTCGTAATTTATAATACCTGTAAATGAACTTGACTAAATTTTTCACTCCTTGCGGCGCGTAGTCATGCACGTTGATGTCGTATAAATTGGCCTCAATTAAGGCGTCATAAGGAAGACGGTTCTTCATATTCGGTACTCGACCATCCAAGTAGGGCATTGTGTGTTTGTCCGCGATCAAGACCACATTTTCATGCTCATGCAGAGCTTTGGCAAACTCTAATTGGAAGTTGATGATATCCAGAAAAGCTTCTTGATATACATTGTCCCTAAAGCAAGTCAGTAGAAAGTTTGGATTTATTGTGAAATAGGTGGACGACATGTCAATGTTAAGTTTATGGTGAAAGGAAGCCAATTATTTTTGTCCACCTACCAAACAGAAGGTGCGACCATCACAATCAGCGACCGATTCTCATGGGCCAGGTTGAAGGGCCGCTGCTGCGCCCGGGCCAACCAACCAAGCACACTGACCCATATTAGGAGCGAGATATGTCGTGACATGACACAATTAAAAAGTAGCTCACAAAAAAGTAGGGCGAGATGATATAACTTTGGCGCCCCAACGCCCGGAGGACCCTCTGGGCGGCAATAAAAAAACGAGGCGGAGGCATCGAACCTGAGGGCGACAAAAACACGCTGTGTGCCGTTCCAAAATCAGTTGCAGCGATCTCGGCGACGAGCCACCGAAACCCGTTTCGGCAGACGGTTAAGTCATCGCGAGCTCGGGAATCATGATGAGGCGCTCCTTCGTGGCTCGGCGGCATCGTGAAGACGAGAAAAGAGCGGAGCGACGTTCCTATAGGTGCGTGATTGATTGAGGAATCCTCACACTGGTGCTGGCGTTTGGCCTGTTATTTTACGCATAATTTTCACCTCCTATATCCCTTTATGTTAACATACTGGTCAGTCTTTTTTATTCGAACACCTTTTTGATTTCTTGCATACTCTGGAGCTTCTTTCACTCCTATTTCTTTTTGGTTTGTCAAGCTTTGTCTAGCTTGGTCCAGCTTATCTCAAGCCTTCGGTATTTTTCTATAATATAGCGCTGTCAACATTGTTGGACATTACAATCGATGGCCTCTGCTCTCATCACATTCCTGACTCCTTTGGCACAGCTCGTAACCTCAAATCTAGAGCTTCCGCCAATTCTCCCACTCTTGAGCCCCTGTTTGCATCAAACATCTTTGCGCCTCCTCGCTCGTCGCGGACCTTGTTAATAATCATAACAAAAACAGGTTTCTTGTTGGCACACTTAATCGGGAGGGAGGGAACTCGCTTCTCTTGAGGTGAAATGGAGGGTGGGAACGGCGCTGGAAGAAAGTGGAACAAGAACAGGCCACTTTGAAACAGTCCATCGACGGAAATTGACGTTGGAGAAACCCGTTTCGGCGAGCGAGACCATTACTTTTTTTGCGGGATTGAGTAACATTTTTTGACATTCCATCGCAAAGTGGTCGCGAGCGACCAATGATGGACATGTGATGGATAACTTAATAACAATGCGGATAATTCGAATGACATGACATTGTAATAAATCATACATGGTGGTTTGAATAATCCAAAATACGATCTTCCAACCAATTATATTATTCATTATCAGGTCATCAAAAACTAACTTCTCCTTGAACAGTTAGCGTTTTCATTCGTTATAAGGAGATCAACAAGAAACAAAATTAACCGTAAAAGGATGACTTAAATAGACTAACTAGTTTGGCTGCCGCATTCTCTGCAAAAAAGTGCGAATCGAATCGCCGAAGACGTTGATATTGCGCTCAGCGAAGTCGAAAATTTGACGATAAATGCGGAGCTGCTCACGGAGGACATCATCCTTGGTTCTGCGCCCTAAAACAGTCATACCACCCGGCGAATTTCCCCATCACACTATCAGAATAAACACTGACCTTCGCTGATTTTGACCAATTCCTGTTCGAGCTGCGCCCTCAGCGCGGGTTTGCTGAATTCATCTCGCCCCATTCGCTTGTAACAATCCACCAACGCCAATCCCATAAAAGTTGGTTCGAATCTCTGTTCATGGTTGACTTGTACATACTGTCGGCTCTTGATCTTTTCGATATGTTCCGAATGGGTGGCATCAGTTCCAATCCCATGTTTATCCATCAAAGCAATCAGATCGGACTCAGTTAACAATGCAGGAGCAGTGGTTAACCCACTGTTGATATTAATCGAAAACTTTGGCAAACTCTCGTGAACGGCGTAGAAAGGGATCTGCTTCCCGTACCATTTGTCGTACTTGTAGACAGCCAGGTATCCCTCGTCTAGGACTACAAGGCCGGATGCCCAGAACTCTTCGCCATTTATTCCGACCTAAAAAGGGATACTGTCATTGTTAATTTAATTAAAAGGAAATAATAAGAAATCTTACTGTAACTTTGGTCTCTTCTCCTTTGGCGTCTCGAGAGCAGGTGGCTAAGAAATGTCGAGTCACCAGTTCGTATACCAACCATTCATCCAGTTTATTGGCGAACGTTTGCCTGAAATAATTTATTTATTTACATTAACCTGATCTGACATTGCTCTCCTCACTTTGTTGCGCATTTCAATGGATGGATGGGAGGGTGAGCAGCATCAGACTTCCTTCCGTTTCTTGGGTTGGGGCCATTTGGCTGACTGAGTACTGATTGGGCAAACTGTGCCCATTCCGGGTTATTCAGCTGTTCCTGGACTAAAGCTTCCAGTCCGAACTTTGGCGGAAATTGATTTGTTTCTGTCCTGGAAATAAGTTTGAACAGTAGTTTCAAATGGATCCCAGGCATGTAATCATTTTAGGGTTACTGTAGCCTACCTAGGATAAGAAATAAATCCCTGCATATACAACTTCTCAGCTGCCGCCATCGTTCTTTTCGCTGTTAATTTCAGTTTCTTTGAGCCCATTTTTTCCAGAGCTACCGTATCCAAGGGGTTCGGCCTCAGTCGACTGGTCGGTTTCTTGTCGACTGCTGTTACTGATGGCTTCATATTCTCATTACATAAGTTGTAATACATCTGGACGGTTTCTTCATCAAACAATCTTATTCGAGCCCAATTGAAATCAACGTTTTTCGCTTCATCACGGCCTACATGGCTCAACAAGTATAATATAATATCAGATCTTACCGACAAGTTTCCAAAATGGTTCCGGTAGAAAGTTCTCATGTTCTAGGTATCTCTCGACGACAAAGCCAAGGGTTGGGAATTGACAAGACCCATATGATATTACACTTTGCCCTGATACCTCACTCAACGCCTGAGGGCAATGATTTTTCAGGTAGAGGGTTTGCAATCGCGTAAAGGCAGCGCCTGAAATATAGAAATTGTTTTGTTGATTTAATAATTATCCTCACCAATCCTCAGATCCAATTCCATTCTACAGTACACTGCATCCACAACATTCTGGTCCATCTGAACGAGATTATTGATGGCTCTTCTAACCGAAGCCGCTGTAATCTCGGAGAATCTGGCTCGATAAACAGGAAGATTTCTTTTGACGGACTTGCAGACCTTCACCACTTCGGCTCCAATATTCTCGCCTTCTCTGTCACAATCTGTCCAAATCACAAGAGCATCCGCATCCTTGGCTTCGTTCCTGAAAAAGTAAGACGAAAGAAGCGAGAATCTTACCGCAACTGACGCTCTACAGCCTTCATTTCATCGGAAACTTGATAAATCAGCGGCTCGGTAAAACAATTTGAAATGGGCACCCCCGCCCAGTTCTTCATCGATGACGGGAATTCGTAATTCATCAGGTGACCCGACACACTTGTGAATACGACATTCGAATTTGGTCCACAGAGATTGTACTAAACAATCACATTGCCTAAACATGTCATCCTACCTGAAAGCAATACAACTTGTTATATTTGGCAGGCCCATTCCGCAAAGTTGGCTTGGCCGGACTCGTAAGGAGATTGGATATGCTCTTGGACGCATCGTTCTTCTCCGCGACACACAGTACCTTTTTCACCATCTTATTTTCCTTCTTCCGAGCAAAAGGTCTTATTGTAGTCAACAATGAAAGTCGCGGACAAAACGGCTTGAATACATTAATCATAACATCTGATCTACAACACACCGCACACATAGCAATATCTTATTACATATAAAAAATCATTTTGGATAATCCATTACCAGCATGAGGAGTATGCGACCACTCCCGTGACGGCTTTATTCTTAATAATATATGGAGGAACAAAGATACTTTAAATGAGAATAAATGGAAGTTTACTGAGGAGTGGCTGGAGCAGGCTTCTGTTCATTTGGAGTAGAGTTTGACGATACAGGGGGAGGAGGCTGTTGGACTTGAGACTGGGCTACAACAATATCTTCAAAGAATGTTTGGAGGGAATTCAGCTGCTCCAAGGCTTGTTCGCGTCTCGATGGTTCGTTGATGATGTCAATCGCATGTTGTTTGATGCTCTGTAATCAAAAAGATTACTTTCTGTAACTACAACAATATCTCCTATAAATGATGGAATGTCAAATTAATTCCAAATTAAGAATCACTCAAACAAAATCACGGATTCTAAAACTTACACTCAGATGGAATTCCACTTGGTCCAGGTACCTCTGCTGATCTTCATTCAGTTCTTCTTGCTCCCCATGGATAACCTCGTACTGTCCTACATCCAGTTCTCCTCTGGCGTGCCTGTAAACCCTTCCGTCCGTAGATGCGATCTCTTGTTCATCCGCCACGATCAGCTCATCTCCCTGGATCACATTGTTTCCCAGTCTATTTGATTTTAATTAATCTCTAATCAAACTTACTGATAATTCTTGAGGTCTTCATTGCTATCAATGAACAAAACTCCCGGATGAGTGTAGGTTCTGTGTTTGGCTCTCTCCTCAGCAGTTTCAAATCTGGCATCGCATCTGGGCATTCCACAACAGTAATGCATGATCTGGTCGTCGTCATAATACTCTTCTTTCTTGGCCATTCTTTCCTGTGCCAATCGGTTGTTTCGAGCAAAGGAACGGCGACGGGAATCAAAACCTTTCCCGGAATTCATCAACTCGTCGACAATCTTGTCGCGAACGTCTTCCGGGAGGTGGGCTAAACAAAAATTATAATAAAAAACAAGTATAACAACTTGAAAAATGCGTTGAGATAACATAAAATCCATCTACAATTGAAAAATAAATGCTTACCATAGGCTTGACCGCTTTTGATTTCATCAACCAAGTCCTTGAATTTTGACTTAGGTTTGGCCGGACTAATTCTCAGCTCTGAATTCGCTTTACTCAACGCCCTTCTAGTCCAAACTTGATGCATTAAAGTCCTTTCATTATGCTCAAAGTTACAAATGTGATCTCCCAAAGGTTCATCCGGATCAGTCAAGAAACGATCTTGATGCACAATGATTCTGGCTTCCGCTTTGTTGTTATATTCATCTTGTCTGACTCCTCTCTTGACCTCCTCTCGATAACGACGACATTGTACACATCTGTACGTCTCATTCAAGGTCGTCGCATTCTTTCGCGCAAAGTACCATTCAGACGCATGCCCGGGGTACTTCCGAGAGTTGTACACGATCACCTAAAGAGAAAACTTATTTAATTCGTTGAACTTAGAAGAGCTAAAAGCAGAAATAAAAGCAAGAAACCACATACATGACGTTTTCGTTGAGATGAATCAAACTTGAAATCAACAAGTCCATAATCGCCGTATTCTGTCTTTTGGCGAGTATACCTGAAAGCATGTTTCAACAATACTCAGCTATACAAATCATTTCAACAGTCATTCTAAACTTACGGTTTGTGTGGGACTGCATGACTCTCTCTTCTGATCATTCTTACATCCTGATCCAGCTCCAATTCCATTTCATGTTCGAATGTCGGCTCTTCATGATACTCCACATTATTCTCGACATATCTGGCTGGGTATCTCCTCAATCTCTTCACTCTTGGAGGTCCGAAGGATGAGCTTGGCTCCTGGTTTGCAGTGACAACCACCTCCTCGTTGGTGTCTCCACTCACATCTAGCTCCACCTCGACGTTTTCAGCGCTGTCCTCTTGTTTGATCTCAGGTTGAGGTCGGCCGCTTGACTGGACTGGCTGAACGGCCGCTGAATGCTCCATAATTTTGAATTTTTCCCGACTTTATCAGGGAAAAGAGTAACAGCTGACCCAAATTTTTCGCGCGAGCTGGTCTAATGCGGCAAAAAGCCAGAAATTTTCGGTTTTCAAGCGCTTGGCATTTGACGTTTTCGTGGTGGGACTCAAAAAAGAGGGCGATGTAATTACAATAGAAATTTCAAAGCGTTTTGACAGAAACGCAAATAAGTCTCAAAAATAGTTACTTCGTTCCACGATGTTCTGTCTCATTTTCTACTACAGAACACATACGAACCAAATTTCAACTAACGAATATCCTTCTTTATGTAACAATAGAGATTTAAGAACAATTAATTTAAAGGCATTTTACATCGCCCCGTCATGCGTCGCCCATTGATTCTGATCGTCACTGACGATGATAACTTGATTGTTGTCGGCGTTGTCATAGATCTGGCGAGGTCGGATGTTGTTGAGATGATTCGCGTTGAACACTTTCTGGGCATTCTCGGCAAGTTGTCCAAGGAGAGGGAGGCTGCCGGGATCGTTCTTAGTGAAGAAGGGGCGGAGAATGTCGAAACAATATTGAATCTGAAAGATGAACAATGTGATAGCAATAATGGCCCTATATTATTTTAACAATATTACACTTACCTGTTCATCTGGAACTTGGAAAGCTGCCAATTGGCTGAGACCTTTGAAGAGATCTAACATATCATCTGCCGACACCTGTTCCTCTGAAGGTCTACTCGTAAGGAAGTCCTTCACACTCTGATTTCCTCTTCTGGAACTGGTGGATGATGAAGCCGATGGATGTCGCTGTGGGGCGTTCAGAGGAGTAACAAAATGCTCATTGAGCTCCTTCGTTTTGTTGGGCCTTAAATAATAAAATAAACTTCAACATCATAAATACCTCACAGTTACCCAAAAATAACTATCTACAATAACATCAAAAAGCAAGAAAACATCTCAACGAACTCACGTCGTACTAATCCTTGTGTACAAAGTGGACTTTTTGATGTCAATATCATGAAGCCGAGCCAATTCCTCCCGAATCTTGGGGACTGAGCTCGTTTCGTTGTTGTCAACGCAATCCATTAGAGCTGCCAGCAGCTGGGGATACTTTTCTTCGAGACGAGGGCGCCCTCGAGGTCTGAGTTTCGGAGCTCGAGCTCTTTTTCGCTTCCGGTATTCGGCTTGATTTCGTCGATCTTTCTGTAAGGAAATTCGAAATAAAAATTGAGTGTCAATTATCAATTTTTGCGGGACTCGAAATGTCAAAAAAATTGCCGGAAATCTTCTCTTGGAATTCTTTTTCGAGAACAAGCACAAAGATGACGTTCATCGTAACGAAAGGGGGATAGTAAAAACCTCGAAAAACAAACAAAAACATCGGTCTTTGGGCATAAACTCCACAGAAACATCTACTAATTATACCTAAAAAGGAAAACATAAACAAAACAACTTACGATCAGTTTGTTGACCCTCATCTCTACCCATCGTTTCCTTTCCACTAACTCCTTTATTCTTTTCTCCACATAATCGTCTCGTTCAACTCGTTTGACCAACACTCCGAGCTCTTCTTCCACTAGACTTTGCTCTTTTCGGAGTTCCTTTACTTTTGGAGTTTCTTCATCACTTTGAGTTCCATCTTCTGAGTCCTGAGATCCATTCATGAGTGCTGATTCGACTAGGTAATGTAACGACTTTTCAGTGGGACTTTGGATGCCATTTGCGAGTCGTGTGACCATCTGAAGTTGGGAGATCTGAGGTTTCTGTGGTTCTGGCGGTGGGGCTGCATCTTCCACTTTATCACATGAATTCGCCTGGAAATACTCGTTTATACGATTGTAAAGAATTGAACGAGAGTCATTGTCCTTTTTTCGCTTAAATTCACCTTATTTTAGACGTCTAAAATGAAGAACAACAAAATTAGTGAACATTTACCTCAGTAGGGAACAATGACGGTGAATTATCCTCCATCTTTGACAACTACCTACTTTTTTGCCGATTTCCAAAATTACTTTGGCGACAAAAAATAAAAAATTTTGATTTTTTATCAAAAATGCCAAGGAATAGCCAAGAAATCCTTTCGAAACTTCGGTAAATTCACCAAACCCCACAAAAAGTAAGCAAATTTCTTACCACCATGTCTAAAATCTTTTGAAAGTTGTCTTCGTTAGCTGTGGAAGGCTGTGGTTCGGGTTCTTGATCCTCTGTTTCCACCTGCATCTTCACCACCACATTTTCAGCCATCGAAATGGAGATCCGCTAAAATCAAACGATGGATTTGTTACTATAATCTCAACTAAAAAGTCAGCGAACGAAATTACAAAGAATTATCAAAATTTCCACATAAATACAAAAGAGAATGACGTTTTTATGCAAATTTTCACGTTAATTTTTGCTCGAAATGTCATAAGTCGACTAAAATAATGTCACAAATTATAAAATACAATCCCATCGTCTTAAGACTTTTTATCATATAAACTTATTAAAACACAGTAATAAAGCCATTTTTTTGGTTAAAGCGATGTAAAACAATATAAAAATGTAATGGTGTATAGTGGATGGTGGTATCCCCAGAAAATGCGTAATGCCGATCTAATTTCTAGATACGAATGACACAACTTGGAGCAGCAGAGAGGTCGGGCGCCATGGGTTTTCTGGGCTGTCCACGGAATGACTGACGAAATAAGAGCACCCGGCGAGAGAAAGGGCTTCCGAAGAGAGACCAGACCGTCAAAGTGCCAGTGGTTAGCCGACTCAGAACGACAGAAATGACGCGTTTTTTGGGAGTGAATGGAAGGCCCAATCTGATGAGAAATACTCAAGGTGAAATTGGAAGAATAAGCAGATGGATCGAACAAAATAATTTCATTCTAACTACAAAAAAGCAGGTCCATTTCTATTCGAACATGACAACAAAAGTCAGCAATGACAGAAAAGAAATGATTGAGTGACGCGCAGAGAGATTTAGAGGAGGAAAATCAGAGAAAACGATTAATCCACAATAGAACAATGTTCGTGGAATGCAAAAAATAATTTGATTTTGTGATATATGAAAAAGGTAAATGCACCGTAATTCATTCGATTAAGAGAGCGCTTGTCGCTTATTGGTCAACATTTTATGGTTGTCAAATTGTCATCAAAATTTGTTTTGTAATCGTTATTTTGAAGTTTACTGGGGCTGACAGGCAACGGTTATCCAAGTCCAAGGGAATGACTAAAAGATTTTAGGATACCGGCATAAGCGTGCTGTAAAGCTTCTTTCTAAATTGTCTTCATCTGGAGTTCCGATTGGCGGTAACTATCAGAGGCTACAGTAAGAAATGGAACAAGACTTTTGAAAAAAAAACTTCCGCAACCTCTCATCTGGGGCAGGTTTCAGTTGGGGCCCAAACAAGGCTGGCCAAGAGGTTGGTGTCAAAGAGAAAGAATGGCAGCCAAAAAATTTTTTTCGAGATTCCAAAGCCATTGACACTTTATCTAGCCGATCCAGGTGCATGGCTAGCCATTTAAAAAATTTGGTTGTCATTTCAACTCATTGGCTTGACGGTCGAATATTTTTGCAACTGGTTATACAGATTGGAGTACCCGATCTGCCCCAAATGAAGGGCAACCAACCAATCGAACCCCCAATTTTTTGTTGGATTTCATTTGTGGGTTATGTTGCAAGATACCTGACTAAACAGCCGATTTATAAAATGGCTAGCAAAAGCGGCGAAATTTCGACTTGGCCGTCGTTCCCACGCATTCGATCAGCCAAGCCTTTAAAGTCATGATTTCTTTTTCATTCAAATTGTGTAATTGTCCACAGTATGTTCAGATGGTTTCATTTCACAGTAAGCCGAAATTTTAAGGGCAATGAATGATGCAAATTTCACTTTTTTAGATTGATTAGTGTCCCCAAAATACCAAATAAATTCAAACGTAATAGTAAATATATTTATCGATTTATTCATAAATACCGGATAAAAATTCTAAGAAACTGAAAGGAATGTGGAAATGTAAAAATTGAAAGACACTGCCTAAGGGTTAGTAAGAAAAATAAAAGCTATTAAACTGATGATCGAATCATATACAGTACGCCAGCTTACAATCTAATCGGCTACACAATCCATCTGCCGGAAGAAATAATCGAGATTTCAGACAACGCCTAAGGCCTTCTGTTCTTCCAGGATTGCTCTCAAATCTCTTTCTAATTTAACCGCAGGCCCCAATTTGAGTGATAATCCGGACCTAAGTTGTTGTTGTTGAAGCAGAACAACGAGGGCATCTCCATCAATCTCTTGCTCCTTCAGTTCGTTGATCACAACATCGCTACAATGAACGATTGCGGCCCAGGCAGCGACTTCATCCAGCTAAAATCCATACGATTAGTCAATGAGACTGCAGAAAAAGTCCCTATATTATATTAAAGATCCGACAAAAAAATGACTTACGCTCCAACTAGCGACCGGTCGTTTCTTGAGTTCGTCCATGCCCAGATGGCCACCATTTTTGGGATTTTCTGGGATTGGAGCAACTTTCTGGATTGGATGAGGTACCGAAGTGGACGGTTGGAGATGTCTGGAGGGTGAGGGTTGCGGGGGAAGACTTGAAATTGGCGCTGGCTTGGTCGAGGGAGGTCTGCTGGAACTATAATTGATTTATAAGGGCTTTTATCGATCTATTATTACTAGTAATATCACATCTTACAGTACACGTAAAGAATTGTAAATTCATTTTGCTCTTACCTGGAAGTAGAGCTGCATTCGCTGTGTTCCAATCCATTCGAGTCCTGACTTCCTCCCAAATCCACATGATGTCCCAGTTTCTCTTGTACTTGACATTCTAACGATAATCGTTTTCTGTAGTTTTTCTTGCACTCACTGTTACAGTACTGTGGATTCTTTTTGCTCTTGCTGGCCTTGTGACAGAACAGACAGCCGCCTTCCGAGATCTGCGACTTCACACTCTGTCGTTCACTCTCGTCATCAATAACACTATCGGAGTTATCTTCCTCTTCAAAGTCATCATCAAAAAGTTTCTTGTAGCCGGATGAGTTTTGCATCGATCGTCGCGGTCTATCAGCCTTCTTATCGTTGCTGGGACGGCCAACACGTCGAGGAGGAGCGGCTGGGGTTCGGCTGACGGCTCGGATTTCGCTTGGATGAGGTTTTTCTTCAGCTAAAATTTCATGGATAAAATAAATTGTGCAATTTTTGCCGAGAGTGATAAATGGAAAAGAAATCTGTGCCTTATAAATTTATAAATAAGTCAATATCCGTCTCTCCTGACGCAACAATTTACCTTGTACATGTTTCTGGATCTGCTGCTGAGAAATCAGGACCTCATCTCGGAACGTATCGGCACTGGTTGTCTACAAAATACCGATTACTTTGCTGCAAAGCAACTCCTTTCTAACCACACAAACAAAAGCAAACAAAAATAAATTCTAAAACTAGTGATCGTACCTTTACTGGACCTACCTTGAACGGGTTCTTGCCCGGTCCAAAGTCCATATTCAGCAGTCCCTCCAATTCTCTGTTCTTCTTCCTCAATCTCTTGTCCTCGATGGATTGAGGGGTGTTTCCAGCCGATTTGATCTTCTTGACGCCATGTTCCGGCATCTTTCTTGGTGTACTCGATGGGTGTTTCTCGACCTTTGGTGCTAATTTTGGAGTGAATTCTGCCGGTTTCTCCACCTTGGTCTTTCTTCCGACCTTTGGCTTTACTTTATTTTCCTTCTGGAGCTTCTGAATCGTCTTTTCTTTCGTCTGAATCTTCTCTGATTTCCTCTCCGTCTCTCTCTTTTCCTTGATCTCTATGGATGATGGATTTGATAAGGGAGTAGAGGGAGTGGACGATTGAGGACTAAAGATGTAGTTGTGGACTCCCTTGGTCTCTTTCGGAGGGGGTGTAAAGTCGGGTTCTTGGATTGTAAAGCCTTGAACTTGATGAACTTTGGTTCCGGGTTTCGGTTGGAATTTGGATGAACAGGAGGCTTCTTCTCGGAAGACGGTCTTCTGAACTTCGAGGGCTGGGAGGGGAGCTGAAATAAAATCAAATTTAATATTATTGTATTATAGGATCAGTCTACTAATTTCCAGCCCTATAATCTTGCGAAATATTGAGGAATTTCCCAAGATTCACTTGCTTAGTCATCGGTCCTACTCCAATCTCTATCTTACAACTAATTTCCACCCCTTAAAACACAATTTTAACATCAAAATTCCCTTAAAACATCTGCAAAAACAGGAATGCGGGAAAGAAAAGATATTAAAAATGGCCGGCGTTCCGTGTGAAGAACGGCCAGATGTCCTTTAGAGCGAAACAAAATAAACAGAGGGAAAGGGAGCGATGACACAAGGGAGATCTTTCGAAAAAGACTCAACAAAAACAACACGGAGTAAATCCCAATCCTATTATGCAAAAGCTTTTTGGAGTCTAAAATAAGTACAAGTTGAAAAAAAGGATGACAAAAGTTATTGCAAATTTCAAAAATAACCCGAAATTTAGGAAGTCATCAGAAATCCAAAAAATAAATCAATAAAAAAACACCAATTTTTTTATAATTTTGAGTGTTTCCATTTTTTTGCAAAATATTAACACTGGTCTAAACTCACCATTAAATGTTGCCATTTCAATGGACGGCGGTTTCTCCTCGTTCCCATTGCTGATAACCTGACTTTGTCCCATTTGAGTCAGCAATTCCTTAGGCACTCCAATCTTGAAGGCCTGTTTTAGATGCATAAAGTGTGGCTGAGAGACGGGGATCTTGATCTGACCTCCCGAGGAGATCTTTTCGGAAGTGCTGGGGCCATTTTCAGCCTCGGCCAGTTTGATCTTCTTGGCCTGAGGGGCTTTTTCATCGCTGGTTGATTGCTGAGGATTTGGCGAAAGTTTTGGCGGGGGTTCAGCGGCCATGACCGAATTGGCATTCGAATTTTGGGCGACTTTACAGTAACCAACAATCTGATTCTGTTGATTTAAGAGAGCCATTTGGCCTCCGAATGGGACCATGTGACAATCGCCCAGGGATTGGCGAAGAGGACCGCCGCTGACGAATTGGGGAGGTTTCACTGAAAAAATTGTGCCTCATAAAGTGATTAATTAACAATCACATTTTGGCAGCAATAAATTTTCCTTCGAATTCAAAATTTTCCGAAAATCTCGGATCTGATTTGTCTCAAAAAAGGTTGCTTTCATCACCACGTTTTATTCCAAAGGTGTCAAAACAAATGAAAACGAACACAGACGAGTAAAAGGTGAGTTACGTAAAAGTGTAAATGTGTTCGAGTTCATTGTTTTGAGCCACGCCCCGGTTTCCATGGGGACGTTACACACTGTTGTACTACAAAAACGGAGATTCCGGACAAATATTCAGATATATGTATCCTATTACCCTTCTTTTTTCAAAAAGAAACCTGCCAAAAGTTGAAAGAGAGGCCTCTTAATTCACATTATCTTAGGCGATACCATCGGATTTTAGCAATTACTTCACTTCGCTTACCCTGGATTTGTTGTGGTTGTTGTCCTTGCCGATTCTGCTGCTGTTGCTGTGCAATAAAGCCCGGAGGGACTTGAATTAATTGAGGCTGCATTTTGATATTATTCTTGGCCCCAGTCATCGATGGTTGAATATATTGGACTCGTTGGACTGTGTTCGGAGGGCTGTTGTTCTTGGAGGTCTCAACCTGCATGGGTCTTGGCCCTTGATGAACAAAGACGGGTTTCCCATTCACCAGCATCATACTGGCCGCACTCATATATTGCATCGGCATTCCCGGATAAATCCCGTGGATTGGTGTCAGATATTGAGGTTGGGAAGTTGGCGGAGGCTGCTTTTTGGCCTGTTTCCGAGGTGCACGTGGCTTCTTCGGAGGTGTCGGGACAGCTGGAGACGCTGATGTTGTTGTGGTTGCAGTGGAATTGGCTAGACTATTGAGTGCAGCGGTCGCCACGGAGGCTGAGATTGTTGTCACTGGGATTAGATTGGAGGGAGTGGGGCCAGAAATTGGAATCAAACTCGGAGTCAATGTCACTTTTGGCACCGAGACTTTGGGTGGGGAAGGCGGCTAAAAATATATTTATTATAATGTGTGACTAAAAGATTGACGAGTCTTTCTCAGTTCGAGAACGAGCAAATTCGTACATACCTTATCTTCGACTTTCTCAGCATTCTCCACTTTCGGCGCCTCAAAAGCAGGCACTTGTTCCATTTCCTCGGCCCGAGGCTGGGATTCCAAGGCTGGTGGAAGATCGTCATCTTCCATGGTGGTATCCGGCTCCTTGACGTCCTTGCTATCTTCGTCAATTACAAGGATACTGGAATCGACCGAATTCGAACGACTGACGCTTGGTTTTTGGTCGATTATTGGGGAATCCTTTGGCTGATCGAGTGTTGGCGGGCCCTCTGGGTTTGTGCTAGAAACAGAAAAGTTTTTGTTGCAAATATCCGTGAAGAACAAGTGCATACAATTTGTCGATTTTCTTTTGTAAGCATAATTACAAAACTTACCTCATTCTTCCAAAAAAGTAGTGGTGGCAACTTAAGGTTTTGCAGTTCAGAGCATTCACACCACTTTGATAGCCTAGAAAAAATAATTTAATGCCGGATACAATAGCCTAGCCATCAATGCAGTCGAACAGCTTTCTTCACGGAGAACCAAAATAACGGTTTTAAAAAGTCATCACAAAATTCAACAAAATTCCCGACCAAACAACCAATAAATGCATGAAATACTCCCATATAATATGGCATTCCCCGCAAAGCCTCCGGAATTCAAAAGGAATGACTCTAGGGGAGAGAGACCATCTGGCATGACCTCGAGTAAAGAGCCAATGACTGTTCAATCAAATTGATTACTACGGTCGACAGAATCGATTAGATTGTGCAACAAGTTTATGAAGTTTCATATTAAGGGTCTTTCGTACCACATGGTGTTATGATATATTGTAAACAATGGTGGGAAAAAATCTTTGGGTTTGTGACTTATGATAAAAATCTTTTTTGTCGGATATCATTGTGCTTCCAATACAATAATTAAAAAGATTTGGAAACATAACGCTTTCAGAATCCCTTGGATCGAATTCAAACGCAAAAACTAAGAATTTTTGGGGCGAAAAGAAGGAAAAAAGGGGGGGGGAGAATAAATGTCGTCCGAAGCCGCGGGTTGAAAGGGACCGAGTGGAGAGAGGAAGAATGGGAGCAGAACTGCGACGAGCGGACCCAGAAAAAAGGGGGGAGCCAACGAGTCGGTTCGATTCATCGCTTGTTGAGCGCCCACCAATCAGGACCCGTCCCGACAGCCAACCAGCGATGAAGCCGGGGTGCAAATTCGGACCGGCTGCACATAGGATGAGAGAGCATGGGCAGAGAAAAAAAGAAATCGGGGAAAAGGGAAACGACGAATGGGAAAAGGAGAATCAGAGGCGAGAAGAACGAAGAAGAGAGCGTATGGTCGAGGCGGAAAAGGAAGGACTCTGCCAAAAGAACGTACAAATCGGATTCGACCATTTAAAAACGGACCGGACCTTCGCCCTGGCTCTCCCGCACAATTGGAAGGATGGAGAAAGTAATCGTAGTGACCGAGCGGAGAGATTGCGGGCAACAGGGAGAGTGCGGGAATTCGTCCGTGACAGCCGGCCCGCTTTTTCACCCACAGGCACCAACGGACGCCCAAACGAATGGAGGGGAGCGGACGCCGACTTCGAAGGCCGCCTCTCCTCCGGGCATGCGGTCTTTTCGCCGCGTCTCTCCTAATTTATCATTCCTCTTCCCTGCATCTAATCAGTCTCTCTTAATTGCGAATTGTAATACCACTTCTTTCCCTCATATTTTGCGTTCATTTCTCCGCACTTCTCGTCGTCGCAACGCCCGTTAACAGCAGCTGATAATTGGTCTGATAAATGGGACTGGTCGACTGATAGTTGGGGGCCTTATCAGTCAGATCTGGGCCAATACAAATACTGGGAATTACAATAAAACGGGCCCCGCTTCGATCAGATAACAGAGTCCGGACTGCGGTTTCAGAAGACCCGTTCCTTCCTTTCCCCTTTTCAAGGCTTCAAAGGATCTACAAAAAAGTCACGGCGACAGAGACTACTTTGATCTTGCCGCTCGAATAGCGAGAACACTGAGGATTGTAAATGTTAAAAAACGGAAATAACAACTTTTCAGTCCCCTTGGGATCTTGGACAAGTATAATTGGGAACGAAATTTTTTAATAACTTAATCGTGGTTCACAACAAACCAGACATCCATTAATAAGACAATAGAAGACTTGCAACCGATGTATACTAGACAGCATCTTTTACTAGGCTGTCCCATGCAACTTTATTACTACCGGCACTCTCTACTTGTTCGCCCTTTGAAACACGGAGTTGCTCATTCCCGAGATGCCAGGCCATTCATTCACAAAACACTTGAGTCATTATTTATTTGCATTGCGCGAAAGCCCAGCGCAATGCGTGTTTGAATGGCTCTGCCCATAACTGCAGACATAAGAAGCACAAGTTGATGGGAGAATGCGGCTAATTGATACCAACTTTATACAGTAATCCATGTGAGATTCCGACGTTCCCTAACAGAAGACAAAGCCATCCAAAGTCATCTGTTTTTTGCAGGTATTACAACACGGTCGGCCCCATAAATTATAATAATCAGCGCACCGCATAATGCGCAGTCAGAGCCCTTTTATTATGCCGTTACTTTGATTTTTATGATAAGACATAAAAGAAGCGCAATGTCGAGATTTCCGCCCTTTCTTTCGATCCGATCAAATTATGGGCCCAACATCTGGAGGTCTAATGAAGACCAAGGGAACGACTCAACATATTGTTGGACTGTTTCGAGGGCAGAGAGGCTTGCAGAATAAGATGTTTGGTTGCCAGCAGGCAAGAAATGATGGATCAACAGACATGAATATGGAAGTTGGAATCAATATCGACAAGTCGCAACTTCCATCTGATCCAAAAAAGCTGTATTTTTTTTATTCATTCGAAGTTGCTTCTTGTAATCCATCGAACGCCTAGCCGAGCAGTTGGATTGGTGGCCAAAGCTAAGATTTTTCTTTCGGACATCCCAACTGTTCGGCTGGCTATGAGATGTATAATGGAATCAGTCAATTACTGATCCCGTACAATCCAGCAAACGACAAAGTCATATTCAAAGAGCACTGGAAGCCAACCGGAACTTTAAAACAAGACATCAGATTAAAACCCCATCACCAACAAAGATTCCCTATGCCACTCAAACAGACTGCACAGAGACAATCAAGTTACAGAACCCAAGTTAATCCTGCCTTGGAGAGCACCACTCCTTGACTCATCAGTGATAACAAACGCTTAGCCACTGACAAAACATTAATCATTTCTTAATTTGTGTGCTCTTGTGTGTTTCTTTTTATGCGAATCTCCGTAATCGCTGTTTTATACCGCATAAAGAGCGGTTACCCGCGGTTATAGGTGGCCCTCCGAACATTACGGCGAATGAGTGGATCGAATTTGATTAAGCTCTTTTCTAATCCCCCATAATCGCGGGGCACTCTAGAATTACCACCAACTCTTTACAATAATTTGAAGGGGAAACGTCAGCCTTTTTCATCAGAACGCGATCTAATCTCTTTAGAGCGCTTCTGCCATAAAATGAGATGCGCGAAAGGGAGAGGGTTAAAGTGAGAAAAGACCTCATTTAGAGGGTGCAGATTATTTGCATTGCACTCAACTCAGCCTCCAGTCATAAACAGCGAGGAATGCAAACAGAAGATAAGCGGTGCGAAAAAGAGATACAGCAAAGCTTAAAGGAGGGGTGAACTTGTCTTAGACATGTTTATAAATGAAGGGGGACACGTAATTACGGAGTAGTTTATGGGGCGGAGAAGCGAGGGATTACTAATATCCCAATAAACGAGGTCAAGAACAGGGGAAGTACCCCAAGTGCAACGTTGATCTTGATGAAACTTAGCACAAATTTACAATGTTTTTCTGAGCCATATTCGAGAGCCCGCGCTTTGCAGAAACGACCGAGATTTTTGGATCAAAAGATGGCAAAAAGTGACCTTTTGGCAAACTTTCGCAAAAAAAGTTTCGTGCCTATTTATACCATAGAGGGTAATCTTTCCACAAAAAATCAATTTCTTCCGCACTAAATTGGCAAGGATAATCGTCCTTTTCTGCGGCCGTTCTCCGCGTATGGGCCGTCTCTGAAAAGCGCGGGTTAAAACCTTCAAGAACCGGCGTGTATGCAAAATTCAAAGAAAATCCGAGCGTCGCACTTTTGGATACTTCCCCTGTAAGCAAGAATGTTACATTTGAAAGCGTAGATTGGAAAACTCCGTGGGCTTTAGCCATGGTTTAACATTTTTTTTTTGTCATCAGAAATGACATAACTCATGGCCGCTCCCTCAGATGACAAAAACGATAATCCTAATCGCTTTTTTCGAGAACACAGACAACAAAAAACATATGCCAATGCGATCTTAAGATTTGACAATCCTCATCTTACATTTACACCACTAGTCATCCAACCGAAGAAGAGATATACACAAATTATCTCTATCTGTATTAATCGTATTAAAAAACCTACTGTATTCGATTATAATCCAGCCATTCAACCTTCAAAAGCCTTCAAAAACCCATAAAACAATCCTTTTCGAGACTCTTGATTCAATTCTTTTATAAAAAGAAAAGAGAAAAAAGCGCCAACTTCTTGAACTGCGCCCGAGCTTTCTGCAGGTTGCGGGCTCAAAGATGAGAACAGGAGCGCAATATTGGAAGTCGAGAGGGGAGCAGCTACAGACAGACGGCGAGCCGAATGTCTAGTCAACGTCTAGACTTACTTTATGTGAGGATATTAGTCTAGAAGCAAATCAGAGAAGAAATGGACGCGGGGGCCAAAGGATGAAGAGAAGAGGGAGCAGAGATAAACAGTGGGATGAAGGGAGTTGAGGATGGAAGGAGAGAAGGAGCATTTCGAAGACTGGAAAGTAAAACGAGAGGATTAGTATGGTCGGGATTCAAACAAGATTAGTGAGAACGCGTTTTGTTGAGGGGGTGAGAAAAAGGTGCCGGCAAAGTGGAACGAAGAACATAGACCGTTATTGTGCGGAGAGCATAAGACGGTAGGAAAGATTGGGCATTATGTGTTCGCGGAGACCCTTAAAGTAGCAACAAAATAGCACGGCGAGCGAAGAGACGGTTCATTTGCAGGGGACAGCCGTCTTTTTTCCTTCATTTCCAATTCCATTCGACGCTCTCGCTTTATTCGACCGCATTGAATCAGCGGCGTCTGAAGAGCATCAAAAAAAAACGAGAGAATGCATTGTTTTGTAGATGAAATGTGTTTCAAAATCATCGGGGATGATAATTTTGCGTTAAATGAGCACCTTTCTGAATAAATCCAATTTTTTCTCGGATAAAAAGTAATCCTTTCTCATTGTCCCTCATCAATTGCACGCTTTTTTAAATACGTATTTTTATAGACCTGGGTTGATTTGAGTGACCGTTCAAGTGGTGGCAATAAGCGCCGATCTACGGTAACCTCGCCGCGTCCCATTTGAGTTTTCATTGGGCGCCGAAGACGGCATCTAATCATCCAAAAACATTATGTTTTATGATCGGCCCGCCGAAAGAATTAATTGGAACTCTTGAGAAATGGGACAAATTTAATTACAAGAGAGTTGGAGGACCTTGAGATCCGGTTGGAAGGTGAGGGAGGCGAGCAGAAACAACAGGTAAAATACGGAAATAATTAATAAATGTCCGCTTCGGCTTTCCACACAATACAAATTCTCATGTCATACAAAAAATCTGTGTCTCCACTAAAATACGACGCAGATCATATTATAATAAAGAGTACTACAAACAGGCTCTGAACATCCAATTCCAAACCAGTTGCCAGGTTGCCGATCCTTTCGAGCCAAAGCGGAATTGTTCGCTTATAATTATGTACTCGGTTTTCACTTTCCGTTTTTAATTGCATGCCCTGAAGACGAATATATATTTCCTCCTGAAACTCTGTTATTTATGAAAGCTCTCGGTAAAAAGCTTAGAAAATTTAGTTTTCACAACTGGAAGGCGGTAAATTTGTTTACTGTATCTTGGTGGCGTTTCCAAATGGATCTCAAAGAAGAGAGGGCCTAAACTTTCAAAGAAACGTCAAAAGAAAGCGGGGTATAAAAGAGGGACATAAAACAATTAGGACGAAATGCTTTTGCTTTATTTATACATAAATCGTCTGATTTGAACATCAAGATTTGAAACGTATTTCGGTATTCAAGATGGCATTCCATCTCTGTCAGATCGATAGATCTTGTAATCTACGCATTAGGTCCTCCGAATGGCCAGGCAATTTTTAGGTCATTCCATCCCAATTTTTTGGTATCCTATATATCTGCTTGACAATTTCTGACATAACATTGCTACAGTCGCTCAAAGGTCGCCAATTGTTTCAGTCTAATCCCCTGGTGTTTAATTACAGTCCAGCCCTCGCCGAACGTCCATCTCTCCTTCCTGCTTTGATGGATGGCCCTTCAACTTGTCTCATTTTTACAAACCACTGTCATCTTTTTTTATATTACTGCATAAATTAATTGGCTATGTAAATCCATGCTGTTTGAAAGGGACAGGTGTTTATTCATTGGGAGGGACACACAAGTGTTCATTGGCTCCACAAACGTAATCTCTTCTCGCTGGATTTATATGTGCGTTGGAAGGGATTAGGTGTAATATTGGGGCAGTAAACAAAAGAAAATTGGTATTGTTCATTAGTTTTATTTACAAATGATTACTAACAAAAACTCGGCGTTTTTTCAGTGGCCATTAAAAAATATTGTGGGAAACAATGATGCCTTATTTTTTCATTTCTGAGTTTATTACGGATAAAATTAACTTGCTTTGTTCCCCCGGAGGTAAAGGTGTTCCAAGCAGACGACCCTCCCCTCCCTCTCATAAGCAAATAAAAAGGGGGAGAGGAAACGGCGATTATAAGTGTCCGCCTCTTTTTTATTCAAATCTCGCACGCTAATTGGCTTCCAAACGAACGGGTAATCGTCTTACAGTTCAGCGATAAGTGAGTGGGTTGCGCGAGCCGATTTGGAAATTTGCAAATTGAAAAGGCTTGCTGGAGATCGACACTAAAGAAGAGGAGGAATACCTTAATAAGAGAGGAACGTATTCGGGTGAAACTTGGCATCAATAGGCTACGAACTTTACAGGACGCATGAGAAGATCTGAATCTGTTTTGCAGGGAAACGTCTGACTGACTTTCTTCGTTTTAGGCACTCTCTCGTAAGAAAGACTGCCAAATCTTTAAGTTTCCGCAATGTTTTCTAATATCATATAAAATTTAATAAATTTAATATTATCTTTATTATCAAAAGTAAACACATATTTACATACAACCCGCAACAACTTTCAGATCATTGGACATGATTCTGATGGAATGATTCCATTTCCTCCAGAATATCCATCTCTTTTGGCTCGTGCTTCATAATCAATTCCTTTGTGGGGGACTCGGAATGGACGGTTATCGAGAATTGGCCTGGGGCATTTGAGGTGATGGTTACATGATGGGCGGAGTCGATCAGACTTTTGGCAGTCTTCTTGAGGTCTTTGATTACATTCGGGGTGAGTAGTTGTTTGGCTTCAGGTGGATGATAGGTTGGATTCAAAAGTTTCAGGAATTTCTTGAACTTGGGATTCTCAACGAATTCGAGGGGAACGCCAGAGGAAAGCATAGCCTGAAAATACATATTGTACAAGGTAATATAAGGTTAATTTGTTGCTCAAATACCGGAAGAGCGGGAAAACTTGAATTGATTTACAATCAGCTAATTTTTTACATCCCAGAAGCCATTACATTATCTTACCTTAGCCAGAGTCTCATCCGCTTTTTGTTTCACATCAATTTGATTCGAAATCCGCGAGGTACTTGGCTGCTGATTTTGTCCATGGGATGAATTATGATTGCTTAATTGGTTAGTAATATATGGGACCTCGACTAGCGTAGGAGGGGGCTCTCGAGACTCTTCTTTAGCACCGAAGATCAACGAGGTTATGGCTGCGGCCGTCTCCCGAAGGAAATTGTCACGGATCTCAGGTGGGACATGCTTACAGATCTAAAAATATTAAATTAATACGGAAAGCTCTCCTTCAACGAATTAAACGTATCAGATATTACATTTAGGAGATGTTGCTTTAGTCGATTGTGATTGTATCCAACGTAAACTTGCCCGCAATGCCGACAAGTCGCATTCTTTCCATTTCTCTCGAAATATTCCCAAATGTAATTATTCGCCGCTGTCATCCGCATAAATAACTGAGAGCTGAAATGAGAAAGTTGAAGGTGCGGGGAAGGCAGATAAAAAAGTGCTGATAACGCGGGAAATTATTCTGCAAGCGGCAGATAAAGCAAAGGCATTCTGCAGCCGCAATAAGCACTGTTTTGCTCTTATTGAATCTTATAAACGAAAATACGGGGTAATAAAGGTCAAAAGATGATATTACTGAGATTATTTGATGTGTTGAAATGAAATGTAAGCCAAAACTTACCGTAAAATTATACGAAAATCACGGAAATACTGAAGCGCAACATCTATTATAAATTTAGACGAAGTGTCAAAAAATATAAAACATTCGAAATTTGACGAAATGTCAACAAAATATTGATTGTTGCGCAGTGTCAAAAAATTGAAAAAATTTACAGTCGAAATTTCGATTTGTACTTGGTTTGACCTTTGAAACTTTAAAGCGCTCATCCATTTTTGGCATGAAAAAATTTATTTATTTAGAAATATTCGGAATACAGTAAAATAAAAGTGAAAAATACGAAACATTTTAAAAATAAAAAAAGAATCAGCCCTGTCCCCACTTGTCATACCCTCCGGAACTTGCTCTTAAAACATTTTCTTGGGAAGGGGAATGCGCATCGAGTCAGCCGGCTGTCAGCATGCATTTGACGGAATTTAAATGCATTCCCCCACACAGCCTGAGGGTTTGAAGAAGAAAACGGGGAGGCAGAGAGCGGCGCCTTTTCTAATCCCAGCACACAGCATTTGGACAGCTGGAAATACAGCGAAAAAAGTCGATATATTGCAAAAAAGTTGACCGACGAGAAATTTTTTGGAGTGAGCAAGAGAAATAAAAAAAAACGAGTCCGGGGGGATGGGGTTTTCCCGACAATTTCCAGCCGCCTGATGCAGGGCTGAAAAGGCTGAGCGAAGACGAAAAAAGGGGCAGCAGGAGAATCGCGAGGAGCAGCCAGCACCCGCAGAGAGCGTCGGCGGAACAGAGAGCGCAGAGAAAAAAGTGGATTCCGGACGGCATTCGGAACGCAAAAGGGCTGAAGCTGACTAAACTGGGGAAAGTCTGCATCCCAAAACGTTTGAGAAGTCTCCGGCATTTTGGATGAAAACCTAGCAGAAAACTCCATCGAAAAGACCCACAAGTAAAAAATAAAATTTTCTTGATGAATAATAAATTCAAATGCGACCAAGCTAGCAATTCAACCTAAAACCGGAAGAGGAGAGAAAATGGACCCTGAGGCGTCCTAATGTCCGACGGAACACAAATCTTCTTTGTTTATGGCAAGAAGAGCGCAGCCACATCTATGTTCTCTGTCGTATGTTCTATTTACTACAATAAATAGCGCCAGATTACGGCTTAGAACAAGGCAGGGAATCGAAAGTTTGATCGGAAGAATCTTCCCGTCCCTTCGGCGAATCTGTCAGCGCTTCTTTTTTTGGTTGTTTTAGCTGAGCAAGAGGGGATTGCACCACAGATTTCCTGAGGCTGGGCATTTTGAATATACAGGTTCAATCCAGCCAGACCAACATCGCAGACAGGGATCAGCGAGCTGTCATACCAGTAGAAGGTGTTGCAAAGTGCAATTTCAACCTGAAAGTCGGTAAATAAAACAGTATCTTCAGTTTTAAATTTACAGCATAAGAGGCCAATCCGCCGTTTCTCAAAAACTCCTGAACCGTTGGAAGATACTGCAAACAGGGATCGCACAATTGAACTCCGGCGTACTGTAGGACCGTTTGCAATTGCCAGGCGTACTTAGCAATCAAGTTGGAATTGGGGAGTTTGTCGGCAAAGGTTTGCTTGTGCTCTTCCCATTCATTTTCCGCGATCGTTTTCCCCAATTCAGCCATGACTCCGGAATCCAGTCCGGCCGGGGAAAGGAAACCATTCAGTTCTTTCAAGGTTTGCTCTAGATCCGCTGGAAAGAAGGTTAATTGTGAGATATGTCATGATCACGGTTACCTTTTACAGAGGCGACCAAGATGAAGACGAAGAGTCGAGAATGCATTGTTAGTTGGCTTAGTGACACTCGCTGATGAAAAAAGGGATGCAGCTTGATATTTATGTTGTGTTTCTAGGCCATGTTTGTAATTGATTGAAGTGGAATGCAATTGTTTTTGTTTTCCCTATACCTTTATGTTGTTGGTTGCTCTACTAAATACAATACGAAAAATAATATAAGAGATGAGGCGGTTTTTGAGGTTTCTTACAACAAAATTTCAATGACACAACATGTAGTAAGCTTCTAGCAAGGGGTTATATAATAGTTTTGACATCATGAATATTTTTAAACTTTCCGCTTGTCAATCTGCCGCGTCTAGCGGATTCCCAGGTTTTGCTAACTGTGAATAGTCATCCATTTTCTATCCTCTCCCCTATTAGTCATCGTACATACAACTTGCTTATATAATTCAATAAATTTCCTTATTTTTGTTACAAGATGTTCAAATTTTTAGTTTTCTCTCTGGCTTTTCTACCGACGAGTTCGGCCACCAGATATTGTCAATCAAAGGGGGATGGATTCTACTCAATAGCCGAAGATTCTTGTTCCCAGAAGTTCTATGAATGCCGTGGAAATCGAACATTTACTCGATCATGTCCAGGAGATTTGTTTTATCGTCAAGAAGCAGAAAGATGTGATGCCAAGGAGCTGAATCCTTTCTGTGATTCTCAAGGAATCACTGGGAAAGACGGGAAATTTGTAATAAAATTGGATGAATTCTGTTTGATGAGAGGAAATGGGAAGTATAGCATCAGAGTTGTAAAGAAGGAGCTCAGGACTTCAAGGAATAACTACGCCGATCCAATAGTTTGCCGGCCATCGGATGAATTCAAATATCAGTTAAAGGTAAATGAGATGTAACGTCAGGGGGGAGTAATCGAAGTATACCACTAGCATTTTTTTATAGGTTATATGTAATTTTCATAGGTTGTATGTAAAATATTCTATTTATAATTTAATTAAATTAAAATGTAATTTCTGAGAAGCTAGAGTAAAATTTAGTACAAAGGTCAATTTCGACTATCTTTGTGTATTTTGCATCGTAAATTCGATGTAATTTTATGACTTTCATATTTCCTTCAATCAAAAAATATAAAACTTTCTTGATGTCACCAGTTTTTATGTTGATCTCAATGTACAGCTTGAGTTTGCCCTGAAAAACGTCTGTTAAACATAAAGGGTACCTGTAACGCCTGCTTTAGTTTCCCGGCCGATGTACCGAAATCTACTGGCAATGTGTCCATGGACGAGCGTTACAGTTGTCTTGTCCATACGGACTCAAATTCAATGTCGTTTCGGATTCTTGTGATCATAAACAACTGGTCAAAGACTGCAACCTTGAACCTCAAAATGACACCATCTCTTTGGGAAACGGAGGAAAAGTAACTGTCAAGTGTTTGAACGGAAGATTTGCAGGAAAACTGTAAAAAAATAAGTTTTCAACGCAATACTTTGCTTTTAAATTCCGTGAATAAACTCTGTTGATGTACTTGACAGTCGTAATCTCGAATTACAGCGACATATAAGTTTATTGTATAGATGATCGGGTTAAACGTAAGGGAACCGTATGAGTGTGTATTATAAAGTGTAGTAAAGTACCTGGAGACACAATCTTCTTATTAGTATTACTTTTGTTTTCTCATGGTCTTTTGTGTTTTCGTATAAGATGGCAACAGAGATCGCAGATCAAATGTGTATTGGTTTCTAAATGACAGTGGGGCGAGACGACAGTGTTATTATAGTAGTTGTAATTGTAATTGTAACAAGTGCCTAATAAAACTGGGAACGAAATAAAACTACAGTAAGAAGCATCTGTCACAAGTTATAGGTTCTTGGCGGCCAACGAGAAGAGTTGCTGGAGCAGGGCGGTCGAGATGGGCACCACATCAGGCAAGCCGGTCGCATTGAACTCGGGCGTCTCCTTGCTCCAAACACTCGGATTTTGACGGAACCATTCCACTGGAGCCGATGGGACAACCGTACTCGCCGGAGGCATTATTGGCTGATTCTCGAAGATCAATTTGGACAAGGGATTGGAACTGGTGGGTGGGAGAAGAGGGGAGCCGAGGGGACTGGATGCCGATGTTAAGGGATTCATCAGCGCCGGAACTTCTTTGATTGGAAGGGTTGGGTTGAAGAGAGTCGTTGGTTGAGTTGTGAGAGGAGAGGAAGTGGTCGGAGATTGGAAGTTGGGAAGAAGTTGAGGAGGGGAGGGACTTTGGTTCATATTATTGTAGTGATCCAGCATTGGGAGGGGCATAAATTGAATGGGAAGGCTGCAAATAAGATTCTTATGTTAGTCATTAAGACTTATGTTAAAAGCTATTTAATTTGTAAAAAGAAATCTCAGAATTTGTTACAGTAATCCGCACTTACTCGGGTCTGAATGAAATCTCCGGCCTGATTGCCACAGGCGCCGAAATCTGTTCATTCCTCTTTTCCTCCGGCTTTTTATTCTCATCAACATTCATGTGGATCTTGAGTAGATTGTCCAGATCGAATGGCTTCGATCGTTTCCTCTGTGGCTCCGATCTCATAGGAGAGCTGAGGTCCAGATCAATACTTCTTCTGATCTCATCCTCAGCCTCGTCCAGAGTTTGCTGTGCCCTCCGGGCTTTTTGTTGATCTCGACGGAGCTTTATTTGCCGAGCCATCAAAGATCGGCGATTTTCCACAAGTTTACACTGAAAAGATTGTATAACAGTTGGTAAAAGAATTTTTAAATTTATCTTAAAGTTTTGTATGGCTTACCAAATTGCAAGTGCAATCCGAGAATGGGCAAAGCGCTCGTTTGTGCCCCCTGAGGGCTTGATCTTTGCCGTGAGCCGAGCATCGCGCGCATTTTGGATCCCGAATTTTCTTCTGGCCGGGCTCTGGCTTTGGCGCACTTGGGTCCAATTTTCGCTTACTCAGTTGATTATTTAGTTGCCGCCGCTTTTCCACCATAATGCAGTCATCACACTCGCAGTTGGCATATCTGCAATCGAACAATTTATATATTTTTTTTAAAAATTTGTTAATACATTTAACGTATATTGCACTTGATCTTTTGGTTTCAGACACGTGTTAATGTACTGTTGTACGCAGACTGTGGCTAATAATCTCTAAACTCCCATTTCTAAGAGTCTAATGGTCCATATTCGAGCGGATTAGACGCATTGTCATCACGTTTTCTGACGTCTTTTATGTCATCTCCAATTTCTTTCTTCCTAATCTTTTCCAATCCGACTGAACTACTTATCAAGTGTCCGTAATCTTATCATACTCTATGTTAAACGTACTAACGTAGTTTCCAATCTCAAAGGGCCTTGTTTCGTATACGCGGATTAATTGAGATCCTCCAAATTGGGATAAAAGTGTAAGGGATTAAAGGTCTCGGGGCAAATAATCAGTTAATTGAATATGGACCGAGATTATGTAATTGTAACATTCGCTAATCCCCTCAGGCAGATATGCAAATTAAAGGAGTTTGAGAACAAACAATGGGGCACAAGGATGTGAGCAAGTTATGTGACAAAAGTGTAAATAAACGAAGTGGAAAGGACTGCGAACACATGTTTAAAGTAAAATTGTAAAAGGGCAAATGGTTTAGAGACTTATTCTAAGCAGATTTCTGCTTCATGTGATGGAGATTTGTGTGGTCTTTGTGACTTGAAAAATGACTAAAATTGGACCTTAAAGATCTGCAATCCTACAGAAAAATCCTTTCTATTGTACAACACGATCGTATTATTCGGAAAAAGCTTGAGAAAAATTGCGATAACAATTAGTCACTTTCTGAAGGTGTGCAGTTATGCTATACCTAGGTCACAGAATATATAATGGAAGTTTGAGAAAATGTTACACAGGCGCAATCGAAATTTTAAACGATCGTTGGAACGTCTATGGAGAAACAGAAGATACGGTCAGACAAACTTTATTCCTTGATTTCTGACCTTATCCTTGGGAACTTTGGACGGGGAAATCATCGACGGATACCCCAGCAACTAATAGTCCCATTCACTCCGAATCCAAAGATCTCCGCATGCCAAAACAACCTTATCCCTATCCGCGACCTCATCTTATCTTATCCTTGTTGTTGTCTCCCAATTATCCCAATCCGCTCTAATTTTATTGTGCCTCTATTTGCGACGGCTAATCCAGGGGCCAGAACCCGGACCAGCCGTTTCCTGATTCGGGAAAATTAAATGTTAATGCAATCTACATCCATTCACACTTCCAGAGATGTAATCTTGTTGATGTTGAAAGATGGGAGCGTCAGCTCCTTAATCCGGAAGTATACACTCCAGAAAAGGCTGGAGAAATTTGAGGATGCCAGAGCATTCTAGATTCTATAACCCGGGGTTCTGGGATAATTATTGCGTAACGGGGAGCAGTTACGCAACAGGAAATTCGGAATTTCGAAACTATCGAAAGCCGGAAAAGTTGGGAGCGGGCATGGGGAAAGTGGATTATTTTTGGATCAGATCTTGACTTGGTATCCGTAAAGATACGGTAATCCAAAAAATTGAATATTTTCCACATCTTTCAGAACTTTGAATAAGCTCATGAGTAAATTGGAAGGCTTTTTAGTTCAGAAATCAAAAATAACTATGTTTTTTATGATTAAAAATTAGCTATAGCGTTTTGAACTTACCGGCAATAAGGTTTGTGGCCTTTCCTCGGGAATTCCAGCCGATGATTCAGGCAGCGTTGACAGAAATATCTTTTTTCGTTGGACCCGTTGGAGGAGGAACTCGGAGTGGGGGAGTCCTTTTGTCTGGCCAGATTTGAGATCATGTCGGGGGCGGGGGTAAAGGAGACTACGTCGATGTCCATGTTCGGAGATTCGGGATAAAAATCGGCTGAAAATTAAAAGTTTTAAGACCAAGCGACTCCAGATTTATTCTACTTTTGACTTCTACCAAAAAAGTAGAGACAAAAAAGCATTGCATAAGACGACGTTACAGTAGACTTCACGCAATCCCCGCAATATCAACAAAAGTACAAGCAATTCATCAAGCTGGGAAAAGCGGCAACCTCCAATTTCCCGTCTTGATGCACTTTTACGGAGATCTACAAACATATACAGGACCACCCAAGATGGGGCCACAGACGCCGCTAAATGGGGAATCGCGTGAGTGGAGAGAACGCGAACTTACAACGTCGTATACAAGTCAGTAAATGCAACATTCTCCGCTTTAAAGTGGTAGTAGTTGGGGAAGATGTTTTTTGGGAGAAGATAGAGGGGATAGAGGTCAGAATAAGCAAGAAATGAAGGTTTTTTAGTGTAAAATAGCCTCCGCAATACAGTAGGACTATCAATAGATCTTAATATAATAGATTAATGTTGAATTATTCAGGAATTTTAAAGTTAAGCTTGAATTTTAGTCAAATAAAAAGACAAGTTATTAGCTGCCTTTTTTTGTCGTAACAGCCCTGTAATTGCAGGAATGACCTCCAAAAGTGCTGCCAAATCAAACTCCTCCCATCCCAGAATTCTTGCCAAGTCTCAGACCCTGCGGCCAAGGGCGGAGTCAAACTGTTTTCAGCCCCTTAATCCGCTTAATCCCATTAATATTTGAAAGGTATTTCCTGAACAAAACTTGATCCCACTCCGATTATTGTAACAGTTTTTGGATTACAGAGTAATTTAATTGGAGTGTCAGAAGATGTACGGGCGATTAACGGCTCATATTTTGGCGATTCTAAGGGGTTGTATCAACAAAAATAAATGTCAAATAATGAAAGAAAAGCATGTCTAACACTGTTAAAAAATTGTGAAACACAAAGAACACAGTATTTTAGTCATCCTTTAGACATAAATATGATAGAAAAAGATGATAATTGCACGGTGCAATTACTTTCCAAGGCCATAATTGTATGTGAGCAACAGCCAGGAAATAAAATATCGAAGGGTTTCTTGGTATTAAGATGTAATTTATGAGCTCAAAACATATGATTTTAGTGTAACGACGAGTATCTACTGTTGCATTACAACTAGAAGAATTCCAAAAAAGTTGCGTATGGACACAAGAAAACATTTTTTTAATTTTAGTCATCTTGGCCATAAAAACGGATTTTGTTTTTACCGGAACTCCTCAAATTGTAACATATTTAATCTTGGCCACACATATCACGAAAGCGATGAGAATATATTTTGCTTGTTTTTACTACACTGAAAGTTTGAACTCAATTATTACACAGAGATTTTTTAGAAGTACATGTTCGGTGCTATCATGCAAAAGAAGACATTGGTTAAAAAATAATTTTGTGACTAAAATTTTTGTAAAATCTCATATTTTATTTTAATCGCTTTTGCTGAAAGAAGAGACTAGTCGCTTTCTAGCGTGATTGAAAATTCTGGCGACAACAGATTGGTCCAGAATATTGCAATTAAAACATGGATCTCAATTATTAAAATCCACCTTGAATTTGATGGAAGATACGACGATTAAGGCTCGAATTTGCGATGAGTCGTTAAGAGAGTAGATGTTGAAGACCGAGGTCTCCAGCAAGATCAAATGTGTGTACTCAAAACGATGACTAAAATCTTTTGATCTTTTGAATTTCCCTTACGATGCCCTCCGGCGATTTCTAACCTTTGATCTCTGATTTCTGAAAAATGCCTCCGGCAAAGTAACATTTGGCCGAAACTTTTACCCGCTAATCCCGAAAACTGTACGTACCCGAACCAAAAGTGTAAACGGATTGGGATTCACGGGTTTCGCGGATAATCGGGCGCTATTCCGGGCCATATTTTGCCTCAGAATACGTGAAAAGAGAGGGATTTTACACTCCCCATTGTTGGCTGTTTACTTCCGCTCTATTTGTGTGCTAGAAAATGTAACTTAAGGGCCTGCTGAACTGTTTAAGACACTTTTATCAGCATCAAATCCGAGGAGAATGCGGAGAAAGAGGATCAATTCGATCCGAAGCAATGCATTTGCATAATTAAGTACTTTAAAGTATAACATACGATCCCAAAGGGTGTGGGGAAGAGGAAAAAGGCGTTTAAGATCGATTTATGATCCATTTTTATTTTTAAAATTTCATTTTTGGCCAAAACAAGCCGAAATACCCCAACTTTTTCGAAAAAATCGACCTTTCCGCGATTTATTGCCAAATTACAGTATCCCTCTCAGCTCCATGCCAAGGCATCCTACACCGACCATTTTTTGTCTGCTCTTTTATCGGATTTACACTTTAATTTTTAGAGATGGGTCCAAAATTTGTTCAAATTTAATTAAAATAATTGCATAATCTCTTGCGAGGAGTTGTTTTTTGTGATGTTTTAATGTTACGAATCGTTGCCGTTGCCGTAAAGCGCTTATTTTGTCTAAGAATTGAGCTCGTACCTTTAGAAGAAAGTGCATTACAAAAGATTGGGGGGTTACTGGGATCAGGCTTAGGGCTTTTCGAACAACCGGAGGGCACGCGGTACTCGGGGTCGGGTACGTGTCAATTCTCAACGAAAGGGGAAATTTGGAAAGTGTAAAAATAAATACTATAAAAAAGTCATCTTAACTTTAAAAAAATATATTTTTTTATCATAAACGTATGATGATGTAAAAAGTGAGATTTTGTCCAATTTTGGCATAAATACTCGGCATAGGCCTCACACTAATTTCAGAAAATGTTCTTTTTTTTTAAAGCGTCGCCAAAATATTTATTCAACAATATTTGTAGACGAGAGAGTACGGAAAATTAGGAGACGCGGTAAGAGAAAAAACTTTTCGTCGCAGATTTGAATCGTAATTTCCCAAAAAGTGCGAGCTAAAAATGTCGTATAAGCCTTTGGAAATTTGAATCGAGATATATTTCGAATTTTTTAATTTGAAATAAATTTTGTTGTTATTAAATGTTGAGAAATTTTATCGTAGATTTCATGTTGAAAGACGAAATTAAAGCTTTGTAAAAATATCAGAACCCAACTTACAACTACTGGCACTGGCTTCGTTGATTTGATCGATCATCTTCGCTTCAAAAATACTGTAATTTCAATCACTTCGATATTACACTGGAGATACAAAGACTTTTCTTTTGGCAATTTTAGTTCATCCTGGAAAAAATTAAATTAACTCTGCTAAAAACGTTATGTAAAAATTGTCGCGAAGAAGTAAAAAAATCTTGAAAACAATGAAATACGCAACAAATCCATTGAAAAACAAATCTCAGCTCAAAAGTGATTACTTTTTATCCCCGCCTACAGTAGAAAAGTGAATATAAAGTGATTCGCCGAATCCCAAACCCTGGTCCTGCAATTGTCATCAGAGCCCTTGAGAAGACCCAAAAGTAATCTCATTCCTCGGGAATTACTTCTTAAACTCCTCCAAAAGTAATCTCCAAAAGTAATGGCAGACAGATTAAGATTTATTGACTCACTGCACAGTGCAAACGTAGTATTGCAACCAGATTTGTCAACAGAAAAATCCGCTAAATGAGGATGTAAATCCAAATTCCGTCGAGAGGGATAACAATTCTCGCGAAACTTCCATCTAATATAGCATCAACAATGTAAAGGGCGCGGAAATGGAACAAATACGTAGGTATGGGATACTGGATGCTATGTTATAGAATCGACCCACTCTCAGCTGTCTCAAGTGTGTTTGTATTACATTTGCATCACCTGTGAAATTCAAAAAATTTTCGTTTTGTGCATTGTTCATAGCCACCTTATAAAATCAAATGTCCATAGACAAAAAAAACGGTACTACTTACAAGCCGGACCCACTAAAAAGTAATAAATTCCAGCTTCCTTTTACCCGGTCCCTCCATTTCCCCCATTCATCTTCCGAAACCAGTCCAATGCAACTTTTTTCAATGATAAAAATACCGTCCCCTCGGGGCGAAAAAACACCTGAGCAGACGGTTCTTTTCGGCTGATCATATCACCCGGACCCCCCAAATTGTTTCTTATCTGTGCCCTTTCCAATTGCGAATTTATGGAGTAATTGTAAACCAAATTGTTAAAGCGGTACTTCTTTTCTCTCTTCAGATTGATGGATCAGATAAAACGATACAAAAGGAGGGACTTTAGATCGTATTTTAGGCAGAAAGTTAGCCGTGAGAACTCTGTTTGAAGACATAAAAAACAGATTACTGTAAAAAGAAGTAAAAAAAGTTGTGAAAAACAGCTGAAAAAGCGTTTTTTTAATTGAATTATGACCTTATTTTTTATAAACTAAGAGAATCGGGCTGATAATCAGTAAAAGAGCGACGATTATAAGGTCAAGATACGCTCGATTACTCTGTTTTTGCAGCTAAAACATCCATTAGAGACCTGCAAATCGATGAAATAAAATCTCAAAGTTCGTTCTCTCCTTTCTTCTTTCCAATATACGGTAGCCCTAAGCAGTATTATACCCATAAGTTGAGGATTAAAAGCACTTTTATTATAAGACTTGTTCATTTCGCCGCGAAAACCGCACGTATTTTTTATTTCCACACAGTGTAGTCAAATATCTAACAAATGGTTCAGAGATTGCCAACTGTCATCATCGAGCATCATAAAATTCGAAAGATCACTTTCCCGAAAACTTGTTTGGGTCCCACCACGAAAACTTGAATTCGCCCAAAACGCCGTCTCGATGGCTTCAAATAAATTTTAATGGCCCGTAGGGATAAAAAGTGGCGTTTTAGAAAATTTTAGAAGTTAATTTCTCCTTTAATATTAGCATTTGATTCGAAAAAAGTACTTTGTCTACCAGAAAGCGGTCTGCAGAAGCACCAATCCTAATTTGAATTCTGATTTAACTACCTTGAAGTTCAAAGCTCTCTTTTTGTCTCTCCAATTTACCCTTTTTTCTCCCATCTGTTGCCTTTTTTCTCCCAGACCACACATGAAGGGGGATTCTCGGAAGACACCTTCGCTTCAGGGGATTCACTCCCTATTTTTAGGCAATAAATGTATAACATATGTTCTGCTAGATGTATCCATCAATTATCCGCGGTTAAATTAACTATTCTCTGGCTACAATTTCTATAATAATAACATTTAACCAAAGCTTTTTTCTGACCACCCAAAACTTGTAATTCCACGTTTTTCTGATGTTAGATTTGTCATTTTCTTCGGAAAAACGGCCAGGAAATTGCAAAGAAATAAAGAAAAAGCATGATAAAACGGATGAATTGGCCACCCAGGCCCACAAGAATGACCCCAATTTATCTTCACCTCAAGCCAGCAACAAAGCCCAATAAATCTTGAGATTATTCCGGGGGAAAGGAGCGATTTTATTGAGGAAATCGGGAGATGTTTCCTTTTTTTGGTTCGCAATCTCAGCCAATCACAGAGGAGAAAAAGGGCTGAAAACTGTGAAACATATTCCCACAAAAGGTATTTTAAAACTTTCAAAGATGACTCAAAAAAGTTACAGTAACCCAGACAGCCCAAACCACGGACCAGCGAGCCCTTTCCAGACTATTTTATGTACTCTTTCTACAACAAAGTGCAAGTTCTTCCCTTCATAACGTTGATTTACGCCCATTGCAAAAAAAATAAAAGAAAAAATAATCTGAAAGTTCAGTGATCAGACCCCAAAAAAACGGAGATCCCCTCAGGCCATATTGAGCTCGATAAATCCAGTCCTTTCCCCCCAAAAATGACCGCACTCATCGCCTCTTTAGGGCCATTTCTCGTGCCAGAATGGAGTTGTTAGAGTAGTTAAAAGTAGTCCCACTTTTTGGACCTCCCAGTCGGATCCAAAAAACGTCTGAACGAGGTCGTTGAGGCGGCGGAAAAGGCGAACTCTCGGATCGTCGAACGAAATTGTAATCTTTTTTGAATGAAAACAATAAAATACGCAAGAGGAAATGATGGATTATACCCGCCCAAATGAAACTTTTTATGGAAAAGAGTACGGTAATGGGGTTTCGAAGGGGAAATGCGAGATGGAGAAACGTATACAGAGTATGGAAATGACTGTGAATGGAACGAACGATCGGAGGTGGGCGAATCGTTTATACAACTTTACAACATAAATCTTGCGAGAATTCTTTGCGAGATTACTGTAAAAACAGAGCAGCGGAAAGTTGCAATTTTTAGAAATTTAATGGATACTACAGTAGAACAACAACAACTATAAATGGCTTTCTTTTATTCGCCTCTCCACGCCGTTATGCGTCTAGACCGCCAAAAAAATTTTAAACGGATCATTTGAGTTTTATGGACCGGTCATCACTCCCCGACCTGCTGTCAAAAAACTCCTCAGGGCATGGGCATTCTCGCCGAAACGCAATGGTTCTCCCCACTGATCTCTTAGACATCAAAAATCAAGCTTTTTTCCCATCAAGACAATAAAAGTGTCCTGGATAATATGTATCACTGATATCTCGACCATATGTGTGACGCCTGTCAATTCGAAAAATGAAAATAATCGTCAAAATCGGGGTTTTTTTAAACATCATCAAGGAAATTACGGCCACGGCTCTAGTTAGGAAGATTCGCAGGGCACAAGTAACGTATTCAAAGTGTTTGTATTAGTATAAGATACTACGAGATCGAAGGTCCACCACCCCCAATTCCCCAGCCCATTACAAGGACCAACGGAACTCGAATAAATCGCGGCCCATTAAAATCGAATCCCTGAAAAAGTGTTGCCAAAAAAAGTGTCATAAAAGGGGTTGTAAATTTTAGTCGCAAAGAAACGATTCCCTTCAATTTGTGTGGGCCCTTAAGCTAACAGACGAGATGGGGTACGGTAATCGCGGGGTGATTAAACGGTTCTTTGGGGATACCAAATCCTCCTATTTTTGGGATAAAGTTGGGTAAAATACGACAATAAAGGGAAACAGAAAAAAATTTTACTTTTTTTATTACAAAAAGAATAGAATAGATTCAAAAAGTTCAAGTTTGTTAAATCTGGTCCGGGATACCGCAGTGTATCCTCACCGACTACCGTAACCCGGCACCGCTCCCCTCCCGCATAACCTTCGCCCCAGGTCGGGGCTTTTCCATTTTCCTCTCCGCTTTTCCTGAATACAATCAAAAAACGCCGAAAGTCATTATTTTTGGGGCGCAAGAAACCCGACCTGTATTATGAAAAAACAGCTATATTGCCCTGCTCCAAGGACGAGGCCGTCAAGGTTGATGTATTCAAATCAAAGGCGTACGGTAGCTGGAATTGGCAGAAATGGGGAGGTAATTGGCCTGGCAAAAAGCGGAGAATGTTCAGGTAAATTACAGTAAGACTCAGGCTGTTTGAGGAAAGAAAACAGCTGCAAATGGGATCGGGGACTCTCAAATCTTATCTTGGATCCTCCTAAAATACGGAAAACAAATTTGGCAAAAACTTTTTTAGGTCCCACCACGAAAACTTGATTTTCCCAAAAAATGACTCAAATATCGCTAGAAAAATACCAGATTAGAAATTTGCCGAAATAGACAGTATTTCACAAAAAAATATCCAAAATTCAGGCGGATATTACCGTACCCGCCAGGCGTATGCGGATTGTTATAAGTAAAAGGTCGCCCGCGATCCAGGTTACTCTGAATTTGAATTTTTCGGAGCAAAAAGTCATAAAGTAAGGGGTAGAGAGGGGCATGGCAGCCATTTTTTCGCCGATTCCCATAAAAATAAAAAAGCGATGGGCAGTTGCAAAATGAGAATTTGGGTGGTCCCTTTCCCCATAAACTTCACAAGGTTGCATTCCAATTGCAATTTTACAATCGGGGTTGATAAAAGTAGTGTAAAAAGAAACAAAAAGAAAAATTATTAATCAAAAAAGGCAGGTAGTTGTTAAATTACTGTTTTGAATCAAGATTTAACCTTCATTTGGATCAAAGTATTTGAAAATTTCAAAAAAATTAGAAAATTACTATCAAAAAGATAACATGGAAGCCAAAGAGGTAGTAATATGCAAAAATGGATACAGTAGAGAGCTTACTGCACTAGTGAAAGAAGTAATTACCGAGGAAGATCGATGATGTAAACGCAAAAAGACTTCTCAGACCTCCCGCATTTTCTTTTCTCACTCAAGAGTCAAGCCCAGAGGGCAAAAGAGTAAATGGTACAATTTAAAATTTAAATAGTACTATGTTTTTTCAATCTTTAAAAGTGGCATAAATTCCACGCACAGTGCGGCTGCACCGTGCAAAAACAAAATCTGATTCCCCGCACAGTGCAACAATCGATTTGTCACAATTAATTTCGCACCGTGCGTTTGCAAAAACACGATCAAAACCCGTTGCACTGTGCGCCCAGAACCAGCCTCCTTGTTTTCGAAGTCATCGCACCGTGCAGCCTCTTGCAAAATTCGCGACCGAAAACAAACAGCGACATTTTTCCGAGGAAGTGGAAACGCGCGACATCCCAAAGCGTTTCTCCACCCAAAGAATCCGAAACCGATTCTTCAACGGCGACAATTGTTTTTTGTCTGCACTGTGCATTGGTTGGCTGAAGAAAAAGTCGCGCGAGGAATTTTGCAAACAGATCGCACCGTGCGCTCGGAGCGAGGAACCGACGACATTTCAGCACCGTGCATTCCAACGAATGGACCGCACAGAGCGTGAAAAACGTCATCGGAGGGAGACCGCACCGTGCGTTCATTTCCCCGCATCGCTCTTGATTAGTGACCGCTGACTGCACGGTGCACCGTCTGTCCAAATGAGCACGTCCATCTGTCGCGGAATTGAGATCAGACTCCGCCTCTTTTGCTCTTTGGCCAAGGATGTCGCCAAAAATCTGCTCCCCACGACCACACCCGCCCCCCATTCAAATCCTGTCTGTTTTTTCTGCACGTGGCCACGGGAAATCCCAAAAATGGCCTCAGGACCACCCAGAGTGCATTGAAGCGCAGGCCCCGCTGCACTGTGCACATTTCCGCTCATCGGAATCCCAAATGAGCGAACGTTGAGTCGGCTGCACAGTGCGATGAAGTCATGGCACAGTGCCAGTGCGATGGAATCCTGGCTCGCGCGGGAATCGCGACAATTGAATCTCCCGACTTCACGCCGAGGCAAATCGATTGCGACGGGAAGACAAATGAACCTGCGACAATGTTGCAGCTGGATTCCGCGATCCAAATGCAGGTGCGCAGAGCTTGTCGCTGTTGCGAAACAAATGAGCAGTGGGCTCCGCGAAATGACAAATTCTTTTGCAAACGTTGGAAAGGGCGATCGCACTGTGCAATTCCCCTCAAAACCGAATGCACAGTGCAATCTCATCGTGTGGAGTTCAAAGAGTCAGCGATAACTTCCGCGACATCTGGTCCCATCGAGAAGTCCGAGTCGCCCTCGGGAGGGAGTGTCGCTGCCCGGACCGGCCGTCCTTCCTCTCCCGTTCTCTTTGTTTTTTTCGTCGCTCGTAAAATTTTTTGGGGCGGCGGACCACACGCACTGTGCAGTGCGAAAAAAACGCCTGCAATGGGAAGAGGAAAGAAAGAGAGAGGCCGAACGCACGGTGCGCCGGGAAGACGGGACGGGAACAGCGAAAAGGGCAATTGCACGGTGCAGTCAGCTGTCAGTGCACGGTGCGATCCCCATAAAAACATCAGAAGCGATCGACGCAAAAAACGGCGACATGTGAGGGCTAAAAATAACGACATTTATGGGCAGAGAATCATCGCAAATTCCTCCGGAGTTTTGATATGAAATTATTTCATTCGCGATAAAGAGCAAGGTAAAAAAAGTTACGTTTTCGGCCTAGGAAAAGGTAACCTTTGACCCAACAGATTGGAAAGAAACAGTCGAATTCGAGGAAAGTTGCGACAGCTGAACCCATAAAAGTTGAGCGATCTCATTAAATGGACACTAAAGCTCCATGGGAGGTTTATGGAGAAATGGGGGCGTGCCCGGGCGTTTAATTATTTAATTGCAAACGTTTTGGACTTTTTGTGAGGAATTCCAGGTAAACGAATAATTCGCAAAAATAATTTAAATCTTTTTAAAAAATTTTAAAAACAAAATTTTGAAATAAATTGAAGGAAAAGAATGGATTAAATACAACAAACACGATAATAAATATTTTAAAATTTATATGAAGACTTTGAGGAATGTTTTATAGACTTTAAACACTGTTTTCTAGGAGATGACTTACAGAAATTACAGTAATCTCCAGAAAATTTGAAAAATAAAAAATATTTTCTTTCGTATTTTATCCAACAACTTTCAAAAAACGAAATGAAAAATAAAAATCACGTTGTAACAAACGCACTCTTATTATTTTTTACACCACCTACTGTACCCCTTTTCCCAAAAAAGACAGAGAATTTAATCTTACATCAACCCCCGGCCCTACTGCAATATTCAGCGACATCGAAGGGGCCGCCAGTCAGTTGTTTGTTTGATTAGAGAGCGACAGATCAGCCAGTCAACTTAAGAGTGCAACACAAACAAAGAAAGGTCTTAATAAAGGACCACACACAAGAGAAGCAACATTAGGGCCTGGGGCAATATAATTAAAATTTAAATAATTATGAGTCAAGACAAGACCAACCAGGGAAATCAAAGGGCGCTCTGGAACCTCGTAAACAGATAAAAAGTACAGTAGGGACGGCTGAGAAGCCGAGCTGTCTGTTTCCCCTGAGGGCATGGGAGGGAGCGACAGTCGCGAGGATTGATAGGGCCCGATAAGTGGAAGGAAATCACAATTGGAGACGTCAATTCATCATGGAGCGACCAGAATGTTGCGTAATATCGAGTAATCAGCGGATGAAACGGAATGCCAGAAATGGCGGGAAAGTGGGATTTTGAAATTTTAAACTTTTTTGAGGAAAAAAATTATATGAAATAATCCAGGAGGGCTGAAATTAAAATTAATGGAAAAATAGACTCACTTTACACTACGAAGAATAAAATTTTACAAAAAAATGACACCACTTTGCCATGTACAACATAAAAATGATCCAAAGGTCCCCAAAAAATAGCCTTTTTTATCCTAAAAATACCATAAAGCCAATTAAAAAATGTTGTATTCGTAGGGCCCAATAAGAAAAAGAGCACAGAATCCCGTTCCCAGCTCCAGAAAACTGCTGACAACTTGCTCGAAATCCCCTCACTGACGGATAAATTATGTTTATCAGGCGAGTTTCTGCCTTCGATCCATCAAAAGCCTACAAAAAGAATGTTTTTTTTGCTTTTCCCAGTGATCGATTGAACTTTCTTGGACTGAAAAAGAATTCGAATAAAAAATTTTGAGAAATGAATAATAGAAATTGATCGGAAAATGGATTAAAAAATCGAAACAAAGAGTCCAAACGTTGTAATCAAACAAAATCAGACGGGCGGAAATGTTACTTTTAGGCGGAAGTTTTGAAAATATTTAATTTAAAATTTGAAAAATTTTTTAAATTTCAGAATTTTGATGACTAATTTTGATTTTAGTAGACATAATTTTAAACCAAAATTTATCCTCAGAGCTTTCGCAAAAAAAAATCGGGGTAAGAAAACAATTTTTTTTCGAGATGCACTTTTACCGCCCGTTCCCTCCTCACTCATCTTACTCGATAATAAAAATTACTTCGAACATTCTTTTTAGCTGCTCAAATTTCACTGTAAAAAAACAAATATTGAGGACGAACATATTTTGTAGGCTACAGTAGACCTTGACCAACAAGATGTAGAGAGAGTAGTCGAGTCTACATCACGTTACTTTCTCGCTTTTTTATTACCACTTTTTATGGAGGGAGATCCGAAAACGGTTGTAAAACAGCGACATAAAGTTGTACTGACAAGTTTGGATTACGGAATGTTACAAAATGTTGCTCAAATTTGAAGACATTTACAAATTAATACAAAAATAGAGATCGAATTATATTGTAGTAGGCAAAACTGGGGGAAAAATCAAAAAATTAAAAAAGAATTGTCAGTTATAGACAAAATGAACCGCCTGGACTACTGCTTACATTACCATAAGTCCGAAAGTAGCGCTACGTCGCAGTTATTTCCCCCAGAGTCCTCTAAAAAGTACATGAAAAGCCCCTTGGACCACCCAAAAATAAGTCCAGACTAAGTCCCCGATTACCATTCAAATGCCCTGAGGGTCGATTCCTAGACTCTGTAACCCATCTCCAATCAAAATGATAACCGATAACTCTCTCCCAGCCCCACCACAAGAGAGCATTTGCACCAAAGAGAGCCCCCGACTCGCCTCAAGTAGAGAACAGTCGTTTTTTGCGAATGTTTCGAAAAGCCGGGCGGCGGAGTGCGATGAAAAAATGTCCTTAGGTCGGACCACCCAAGTCGCCCGTTCGGTTTTTTATGCATTGTGTGCCAGCCGAAGGTCCGAGTTTTTGTTGCGAATTCATAAAAATTGCATTTTGGGAGCGGAAACCGGGGAATTCGGTTAAATTGTGAGCCCAGCACATTAACCAAGGGGTAACCAGACTTTGAGGTTGTGATATAAGATGCCAAGAGATTATTTTACCGTCAATATCAGCGGAAAAAATAAAAATTCAACAGATCTTTGAAGTTGAAAAATAATTTTAAAAATTTGAAAATTTGACAATAATAAAAAAAACTCCAAGAAATTCAAAGTGTGATGTGATCAGCCTGGTATCAATCGCAATATAAATACCTTCACAATCTCAGCTGGAAGCCACATCTGCCTTGCAGAACAGGAAAAGCAGATTAATTAAGCCAGTAACTTTACTCTTACTACTTTTATTTTTCGTCCGAGAGATCCTTTATTGAAAAAACAAAGCTTTGAGCGAATAAAAGTGTGAATCCGGGAGTATTTGGCAACATGTTGGGTGGTCTGACGTCTGAATAAACATTTGAGGGAGTTATTAAAAGTGTAAGGCGTACTCTTGTTGGAGAGTAAAAAGAGTAAAAATGGGCTTAAGAATAGCACATTATGAGACAAACGTTTAAAAAAGTTGGTTTTAATGTAATGAAAAGGGTGTAAAGGGCTGGTAATGATGTAGAAATGGATTATCAGACAAGGAGAAGTTCAAAAACCGTCGGGATCACCTGTGACGAAGGGGATTCCACGGGTAATCATCCGCTTAATCCAGAAGATTACGAGGGCTGAAGGGGATAATAAGTTGATTACTGTAGAAAAAAGTTACATCTGTTTACACCTTATACCATAAAGGGTAGCATTTAGAAAAATTTAGGAGTTTAGAGGGCATAACTTATAAATAATGAGAGCAAAAGAATAATTTTCAACCAAAAACCAAATGTTTTAAACTTCAAATTTTGCTCAGCCCAGTTCCCAACGATTCTAAATAGGAATCGCAACAGACAATCCGCGATTAAAAACCTTCTGGATTAATAAAAAATTTTGAATCTCGCATGTTCCGTTACCTGCCCTTCTGCTTTTACAATGAATCGATGATCAAAACGTGACTCAGTTCAATTAAAAAACGCCTGAGGGCGAGATCAGAAGGTCAAACGCACGTCATCCAGAATTTCAATGATTAATAACTGATCTAGACAACAATTTGTTTCGCGAAAAGGTCAGATTTCGAAGCGTTTTAGGGCCAAAAAAACTTGTAATCCCAGACAAATCGGAAGTTTCCTGACGTAATCTGAGAGAATTAGTAATCGATTTATAGTCTTGGAGAGATCCCGGCTCTTAAAAACTTTTTTACACATTCTTTCAGCTATTTTACTCCCCAACTTATTTTGGTCATTATAAACAGTATTTTAGCTGTATTCGATATTATTTTTGAAAAATAGAAACATTCGCGACCTTTTTTCGGCAATTTCCAACCTTATAGTCCCTCTCGACTAACCAATTTCCCAAAGAAATCTCAAAAAGATCACCCCAAAAATTGCCGAAATCCAGACCTATTGAAGAAAATTTAACAAACTCCAGTGCCCTGAGGGCTGGATCAGTTAAGAGTGCATAATAATTGGTGTCGGAAGCCCTGATTTACTTCCGCTGACCCCGAATCTTGGTAGCCGAAATTCGAAAACTTGGCAGTTTCAGCGATAAGATCAGCCGCTGATTCCCAAACTTTATCTGATTCCCGTTTTTGAGTAGTTGCATTCTTTGCGCGACATTTCTCTCCTGTTTACCCTTTAATTTTATTACTTCTACAGTTATAAAAGAGATTGTACTTTCACCCAAATTCTTTTTTGATAAACCTTTTATGAGACTTTTTCTTAGCGCCCGTTAAAAGGGCATTTTTAATGCTCAACTTAAGAGTGCGGGAGGTCTCACGATCTAATTAGGGGATGTTGCCCATGCGGCCACGAGCTGAGGAGACATCACATATGTGAACACAGTAAAAATGATTACGTGATTTACTTGCAATCAGCAGAAACAGGCAAAATATGTCGTCTTAAAGGAACTTTGCAATCTTAATTAGACATAGATGAGTTTTTTATCCAAAAACAATGCTTAAACACTTCCTCGTCGCCCCTGACGCCCTCGATCCGTCATTTCGGCCTCAGGTCATGGAGATCTTACCTGTTTTCACCTTCATCTATCACTTTTTAAACCTCTCCCCAAAACCGACCCCACTGACCTCTGACCTCCAAGCCTCCAAAACAAAAGTAACTATTCCTTGACAAAGAAGAGAGCAAAAGAGTTTTTTATCTAGAATAATATTTACCAACCTCCAGACAAACCAATGGGGTCAGAAAAAAAACTCAGCACACGGAGTAAAGAGACCATTCGAAAAAAACATTATGCAAATGCCCTC